TTTCGTATTATTGTTCTCAAACTACTACCTGACAAGCCAAGATTGTAATCTACTCCCTCTTTGAAAGCATACAGCTTAGCCAATTTATCAGTTCTATCATGCATCTGAAGACCAATGTGAGATGGAATCCACAGCATGTGCACTCTGACTCCACTGTCTCGCTGTACATGAATGGCATATAATACCAACATATGTATAATTCTTCACCCTATGTCTCGTTGGAGGATCACCTGACATGCCCTTAAATGATCAAACTTCTATTGGTTAGAAGTTAGAAATTAAGTTAGAACATGCCCAACAGCGATTCATTTTCCTGCTGCCTAGGAGCTGAAATTTTCGAAAGGAAAACATCACCAGGAATAAGATTAATATTATTGTTACAATCGAAACTAAGCGCTAAACCCACAAGGGTCATGCAGTGCTACAATAAGATAAATAGATAAAAAGTTGGAAAGAGGGGTATGTAGATTCGACCTGAGAGAAGAGGAGAAGGTCCAATTCCTATGATCAAAACCCCTTAACTGCAGTAAGAACACTCTTTTAAAGGGTATATTTATGGGGAATCGTTAAATCTGTAAGGGTGACAGCTCCTGGAGCATGGGAGGTAAACAGGTTTAACTCAAGGATGGGGAGAGTAGTGGCACACATCATTAGCAAACAAGGGAAGGGGAAGCAAGTTCTGTCTAAGGAAGGAGAAGACAGGAACAATTCCTTGCATGAAGAGTCCCCTCACTGGCATGAAGAAACCTCCCTCGAGGGAATAATAATAGTATAAGACTCCAGCTACTAATACACAAGAGGGGTTGCCCACCTCAGGAGCGAGTAGAAAGTAATGCATTCATAGTGTGCAATATATTCATGGGAAGTGCTAAACCCACAGGGGGTCATGTAGTGCCTGGATTCCATAGTAAACAGGTTTGATCCAAGGAAGGGGACAGTAGCTTAAATTTTTCAGAACTAAGCTTTGACACCATCACTCCTTCCTTGAACAGAAAGACTTATATTGATGGTTATTATGACCCTTATGGTTTAGCGCTTAGTTATGATTACAATATGACCCTTGTGGGTTTATTATCAAAACCAGGTGCTAAACCTGCACGGGTCATACAGCAGTCTTGTGGGTTTAGCACTTAGTTATGATTATGATAATGATGGTTATTATATTGATGTTTATTATATTGGTTATATTATTATATTGATTATCCTAGGTATTATTATTATGATCAAAAAGCGCTAAACCTACAAGGGTCATATAGCAGGCGTCCTAGGTAGTAGGTTGGTAGACAGCAGCCGCCCAGGGAGGTACTACCGTCCTGCCAAGTGAGTGTGAAACGGAAACTTGTAATTATTTTACATGATGGTAGGATTGCTGGTGTCTTTTGTCTGTCTCATAAGTAAGTTTATTCAGGTATACACAAATACAGTTACATAGATTATCATACATAGCAGCATATGTGTAAAATACCTAGGATAACCCAAAAAAGTCAGACAGGTATGTATATACCAGGTATATCTTGCTACTTCTACCTACACTTAGGTTGCACTACACATGCATGTACATACATGTATATACATGCATAGCCATCTGGAATTTCTTCTATTTTCTTAATGGTTCTTCTTCTTCTTTATTTCCTCTAATCTCCATGGTTAAGTGGGATAGAATTCTTCCTCAGTAACCCATGTGTGTAGTAAGAGGCGACTACAGGGCCAAGAGCAAGGGGTTAGTAACCCCTTCTCCTACATAAATTACTAAATTTAAAGAGAAAAAACTTGTTTTTCTTTTTAGGTCACCCTACCTCTGTGAGATATGGCCTGTCTGTAGAAATATAAATAATTATATTGTCTATTATATATATTTATTGTTATACAGTATTTGTTTTTATATCCATGGGGAAGAGCCAAACCAAAAAGGGGTCAAACGATGCCTTGGGGAATGGGAGGTAATCAGGTTTAATGCAAGGAAGAGGTTGATAGACCTTTTTTTCATCAGTGGGATGTGTTAAATCTGTAGGGGTTATACTGCACCTGAGAAGGCAATCAGATTCAATCCAGGGGAGGATAAGTCCAGTTCCTTGGATCAAGATTATTATAATTATAACAAAGTGCTAAACCCTTAAGGGTCATATAGCTCTTGGATCAAGAACCCCCTCACCAGCATCAAGGCACTTCCCTTAAGGGAAACAACAGGCCAAGTTCCTTGGATCAAGAGCCCCTCACCAGTATCTAGGAAACTCCCTTGAAAGGATATTTATGAGTTGCACTAAACCCTTAGGGATTATACAGCACCTAGAAAATGGAAGGCAATCAGGTTTGATCCAATGATAGGAACAGTAGTTTTAATTCCTAAGATCAAGAGCTCTTCACCAGCATCAAGGAAGGAAGAAGTGTGAAAGGCTTAGGTAATGAAGAGAAATAAAAGTTAGGGTAACAAGTGAATCCTGATGTTGTAACTAATGTTGCACTTAAGTCATGTGGAAATTCTAAACCTTTAAGGGTTGTAATGAATAATACAGTAATTATTGTTGAGTTATCTCACCTCAGTGGAAGACAGCTGGTGTTAAAATAAAATATTACAATTGATGAAGTAAGTTTTATTCATGGGGTAGCTGGTTTCCATTATTTCCTGAAAGAACAGTCACAATACCATGGCTGGAACAATACATAATTAGCCAGGGCTTAGAACGAAACTCATGAAGGCATTTTGGTCTGACTTGGACCATAACAAGTCTCCAGTCGAACCAAAATGTCTACACAAGTTTTAGTCTCCTAAGTGTGGGTTATTTGTGTATATCTTATTTCCTTTTAAGTCATGCATTTCTTAGGCAACTAAACTGACAAGAGGGGCTGGTAACCATTTTTCTATATACAATTACAGACTAATAGGGGAGATGGGGTGTGCAATAATCGCGACTGTCCTTACCTTCTGAATTATGAAAGTAATATTTCATGATTGTCCAGTTGCCTTTAAGTAGTAAACTTTGTCTGCTGATGCAGAAGACACCCGGACACTAAGAATATGGGTATTGTAACCTGTAGTACTACGGTTATTGCAGTACTAGGGGTTATTGAGATGGTTTGGACATGTAGAGGGTGGAATGAAATAGAATGACTTCGAGAGTGTATAAATCTGTAGTGGAGGGAAGGCAGGGTAGGGGTCAGCCTAGGAAAGGTTGGAAGGAGGGGGTAAAGGTTTTGTGTGCAAGGGGCTTGGACTTCTAGCGTGCCTGAGCGTGTTAGGTAGGAGCGAATGGAGAAAAATGGTTTTTAGGACTTTACATGCTGTTGGAGTGTAAGCAAGGTAACATTTATGAAAGGATTCAAGGGTTAACTGGCAGTCTAACTTGATTCCTGTGAGATGGGAAGTACAGTGCCAGCACTCTGAAGGCATGGGTGTTAATGTGCGATTTTAAACTGTAGTGTAGCAAGGCTGGCAAGACATTGATGAGTGAGTGATATGAAAGTTCTTCTTTTTTGGGCCACCCTGCCTTAGTGGGAAACAGCCTATGTGTTAATATAATAATAACATATATGTGTATGTGTATAGTGTGTATGTGTAGTCCAAAAACGTTATCTATGGAGGCAAAGAAGGGAATGTATGAAAGTATAGTAGTACCAACATCTTATATGGGTGTGAAGCTTGGGTTGTGAATGCAGCAGCGAGGAGGCGGTTGGAGGCAGTGGAGATGTCCTGTCTAAGGGCAATGTGTGGTGTATATATTATGCAGAAAATTAGGAGTGTGGAAATTAGGAGAAGGTGTGGAGTTAATAAAAGTATTAGTCAGAGGGCTGAAGAGGGGTTGTTGAGGTGGTTTGGTCATTTAGAGAGAATGCATAAAAGTAGAATGACATGGAGAACATTTAAATCTGTAGGAGAAGGAAGGCGGGGTAGGGGTTGTCCTCGAAAAGGTTGGAAGGAAGGGGTAAGGGAGGTTTTGTGGGCAAGGGGCTTGGACTTCCAGCAGGCGTGCATGAGCGTGTTCGATAGGAGTGAATGGAGACGAATGATATTTGGGACCTGACGATCTGTTGGAGTGTGAGCAGGGTAATATTTAGTGAAGGGATTCAGGGAAACTGGGTATTTTTATATAGCCGGACTTGAGTCCTGGAAATGGGTAGTACAATGCCTGCACTCTAAAGGAGGGGTTTTGGGATATTAGCAGTTTGGAGGGATATGTTGTGTATCTTTATACATATATACTTCTAAACTGTTGTGTTCTGAGCACCTCTGCAAAAGCAGTGATTATGTGTGAGTGAGGTTAAAGTGTTCAATGATGATGAAAGTATTTTCTTTTTGGGGATTTTCTTTCTTTTTGGGTCACCCTGCCTCGGTGGGAGACGGCCGACTCGTTGAAAAAAAAAAAAAAAAAAAAAAAAAAGTGTAGTGTGACCTAAGTGTAAGTAGAAGTAGCAAGACATACCTGAAATCTTGCATGTTTATGAGACAGAGAAAAGACACCAGCAACCCTACCATCATGTAAAACAATTACAGGCTTCCGTTTTACACTTACTTGACAGAACGATAGTACCTCCCTGGCAGTTGCTGTCATAAATTAGCAATAAACCCATAAGGGTCATACATACTTCAGAAGACAATCAGACACCATTGCTAGAAACAAAATGTAGAATTATGAACTTTTGTCCAATTTCTCCAATAATTAGAGAATTTGTCTGGCCATTTTTTTTGTCTGAAACTGACAAAATCCATTAGAGATATTTACTAGGTAAAGGATATCAGCCCACTTCCATGGCTAGAGGTTGCCATCCGTGAGTCATGGGGAAATTTATCCCATGAAACCCAAAAGAATGTGTTAATCGCTTCCTAAACAGCTGAAGGCTGTCCTAAAGCACAAAGGATGGCTTTATTTTGTGGCTGTGGTTTGAATGGGAGGCCAGTATACTTCATTGACAAGCAGTGCATTTAGTAAACAGACCATATTTTAACATGTTGTGGAACCTACACAGCAATCAGTACCTCTTACAAAAGGTTATCAAAAAAGATATTAAAAAAGCTTTTATTGCTTAAATTACCATAAATTACAAAAATCTTTGAAGAGATAGTGCATTTCTCAAAATACGTACAGTAGAATAACATGGATGAAAATGAAAAAAATACCTTTTAATCTTATATACATACAAGTCTTGCATGTGATATGAGAGTTAATAACTCTTAAAAATATATTGCATAATAAATTATCAAGGAAAACACTTGTATATACATCTGTCATGCTCTTGCATCACCCACCGTCTACACACAAACTCTCGATAACCTTCATGAAGCCACTCGTCACTGGCACAAACTTTCTTCATGGCATTTTCCCAAGCTCTAGTCTTGAAATCTTTGAACTAGTCTTTACTTACATAAACCTGGGAAAATAATAAATATGTTAAAACTAGTTTGTCTAGAACTAGTCAGTGAATAGCTCTTTTTTTTTGTGTGTTTCACTTATGATGCAGACAACAAGGAACTCTCTTTCTCGGCCACAAAAGAATGACATCAGGCTGTTATTTAACACTTCAATCTTCACTCTGTGCTTCTGATATCTATATCATTCACAATAGCATGCATACCAACAGCTCACTATGCATATAACTGTGAAGGGCACTTAGCAAGAAATTAATGTCCTCCTGATAGTTATAACAGCATTGAAATCTTTCAATAATATTCATTTGTTTCATGATTTATTATTAAGTTTATAACTTTTATCTATAAAGCTGAAACCACATTCAGCATAACAAATGCTACTACTGCTGCTGGGCCTGACTCTGTGTGATATAGACGGGCTGACCTCCACTCTGTAAAGATAATACAGTGTAACATTGTAAAATAAGCATATGAATCCATAGACAATAAAATTTTACATGTAGCAAATCATGAAATTTAAAAAAAAAAAAAAAAAAAAAAATCACTTCCAAAGTTATGAGCAGCACTGATAGAGAATAAATGGTAGAGAAGGTTTGGCCAGTGTGAACCATATCACAAGTCTTATTATGTCAGGCACTCCAGTATGTACAAGTTGTTATGCAGCAATAAAATGAATTAAATTTATTTCTTAAACTGTCTAGGCTATGTGCACAATGCACATATGTTTACATAATTACTTTGATTTTGGGGTTTGGGAGTCATGAACATTTACAGTTTAAAGTGAATAAAATGTACATATACAATGTATGCACATACCTGCTGACTAATTTTTACATATGATAAGTCTTAAACAGTTGGTTACTATGCAACACCTTGTGAAGTATCCTCCGCCTAAAGCATAGCCAAGTTTTTCAATCCATATTCTGTACTTCATTTTAGTTTTGATGGAAACATTTAGCTAATTTTCAAAACATAGGATTGAAAACAATACCCTGCTCTATAACTATGTGACTGGAAATATTACTATTACAGTATGTATAGATAAGGAAGCATGCACATATTAACCTTATGTATAGTGAAACACCTCTAAAGTGGTCCTTCATAAAACCAGGCAATATCTTTTTGACTAAAACAAAATTAGTTTCAAACCAAATTTTTCCCATGTAAACTGGTTGGAGAATGTACACACCAAAGACAGCCAGCTTTGGTAAGTTAGTCTAAATGCAGTAATCCTATACATTCTATGCTGGCCAAAATAGATCAAGGGTAACTTAAAGAAAAAACCTGGAAATCAAACCAATGAACAAACTTAGTGAGAATTCTTGGACTGACATATGCTTCAAGAAAAATGTGATTTTCTCCAACATTCATTTGAATTCACCTTCATAGCCCTTTGCCACTTAACTTACAAATATCAGGATAAACTGCAGTTATTTATATCAGTTTGTAAAAGGAAGGAGGAAAAAAGGGGGTGGCCTCTGGCACTTTCATATCTACCATATCTGGTCTCTGCTCCTTATGCATACCAAGCTCCAACTCAGTTAGTACATGCTTGAATTATGTTTTTATAACGATTCCTCTATTCTGTGCCCCATATCATAGCTCTATCTCTGCACTGCAAACTCTGATAGGTAATTACAGAATTTATTCTTGTTTAAGAAAGGCAAGTATATTACGCTCATACATCATATTCTCTCCACAAGCACTTAGCAAATGATTTTTTTTTTTCAACAAGTCGGCAGTCTCCCACCGAGGCACGGTGACCGAAAAAGAAAGAAAATCCCCAAAAAGAAAATACTTTCATCATCATTCAACACTTTCACCTAACTCACACATAATCACTGTTTTTGCAGAGGTGCTCAGAACACAACAGTTTAGAAGCATATATATATAAAGATACACAACATATCCCTCCAAACTGCTAATATCCCAAAACTGCTCCTTTAAAGTGCGGGCATTGTACTTCCCATTTCCAGGACTCAAGTCCGGCTATATAAAAATAGCTGGTTTTCCTGAATCCCTTCACTAAATATTACCCTGCTCACACTCCAACAGATTATCAGGTCCCAAATACCATTCGTCTCCATTCACTCCTATCGAACACGCTCATGCACGCCTGCTGGAAGTCCAAGCCCCTTGCCCACAAAACCTCCCTTACCCGTTCCTTCCAACCTTTTCGAGGATGACCCCTACCCCGCCTTCCTTCTCCTACAGATTTAAATGCTTTCCATGTCATTCTACTTTGATCCATTCTCTCTAAATGACCAAACCACCTCAACAACCCCTCTTCAGCCCTCTGACTAATACTTTTATTAACTCCACACCTTTTCCTAATTTCCACACTCTGAATTTTCTGCATAATATTTACACCACACACTGCCCTTAGACAGGACATCTCCACTGCCTCCAACCGCCTCCTCGCTGCTGCATTCACAGCCCAAGCTTCACCCATATAAGAGTGTTGGTACTACTATACTTTCATACATTCCCTTCTTTGCCTCCATAGTTAACGTTTTTTGACTCCACATATATCTCAACACACCACTCACCTTTTTTCCCCTCATCAATTCTATGATTAACCTCATCCTTCATAAATCCATCCGCCGACACGTCAACTCCCAAGTATCTGAAAACATTCACTTCTTCCATACTCCTCCTCCCCAATTTGATATCCAATTTTTCTTTATCTAAATCATTTGATACCCTCATCACCTTACTCTTTTCTATGTTCACTTTCAACTTTCTACCTTTACACACACTCCCAAATGATATTCAGACAAATAACTTGCAAACACTGCTATTGTAGCAAGAGCTCAGGCTTATATCTACCTTTTTTTTTTTTTTTTTTCAACAAGTCGGCCGTCTCCCACCAAGGCAGGGTGACCCAAAAAAGAAAGAAAATCCCCAAAAAGAAAATACTTTCATCATCATTCAACACTTTCACCACATTCACACATTATCACTGTTTTTGCAGAGGTGCTCAGAATACAACAGTTTAGAAGCATACACATATAAAGATACACAACATATCCCTCCAAACTACCAATATCCCAAACCCCTCCTTTAAAGTGCAGGCATTGTACTTCCCATTTCCAGGACTCAAGTCCGACTATATGAAAATAACCGGTTTCCCTGAATCCCTTCACTAAATATTACCCTGCTCACACTCCAACAGATCGTCAGGTCCCAAGTACCATTCGTCTCCATTCACTCCTATCTAACACGCTCACACACGCTTGCTGGAAGTCCAAGCCCCTTGCCCACAAAACCTCCTTTACCCCCTCTCTCCAACCCTTTCGAGGACGACCCCTACCCCGTCTTCCTTCCCCTATAGATTTATATGCTTTCCATGTCATTCTACTTTGATCCATTCTCTCTAAATGTACCTAAAGTTGTTTACTATCTAAGCATCTAACAGGAGTAAGCAAAAATAAAACAAAAAATAATGATCCAATGTTTTAAATTTTTATTTGTAAGGTGCTATATTTCTCATTCTTGAGGTGCTGAATGACACGAAGTCTCGCATATTTTTGTGGAGGACATCCATATTTTTTTTGACTATTTAATATGAGTATTCTCAGTTGCTGATCTAATAATTATGTTAATAAAATTATATTTAAATAATTTGCAGGTAAATTCTCTATCTCAAATACATGAATCTGATATAGAGAAACAATTCTGAAGCAAGGCAAAACCAGGCTCTTAATAAGTATTCACCTGCTGCAGCTGAATGATTTGGGGTTGTGTGGTGACCACTGCCTGTGCCTGTTGTGTCACTGCTTGTATAGGGGCTGTCTGAATGATGATTGGCTGTTGAGTGGCACCAGACATCTGTAGCTTGATCATCTGTAGTTGCTGTGGTGTCAATTGTATCTGTAGCAAAATCAAGAGAATCATTTGATTTAAGTAAATATGATCTCAAATAATTATTTTAACCGCATTACCAACTAATGAATTTATATAAAGTCAAACTTAGTTTCTAATTTACCACATGTGGTATTACTGGCATCTCCTTTCAATTTGTAATTTTATTTGAAATATAAGAATAAAGAAACATAAATCATAAGAAAATACGTAGTTAAGTTTGGAAATACTAAGAACTGGAGGAAAAGCATCCGTTACTATGGCAACACACCTGAAGAACAGGTTATGAAATGTTTCACCGTAACACTATCACAAGTCCAGTAATTTAAGAAATGTATAAGCGATTATCAAATTTAATGAACAGCACTAAACCTGTAGGAATCATACAGCACCTGGGAAAAGGGAGGCAATCAAGTTTAATCTAAGGAAAGGTAGGAAAAGTACAATTCCGTGAATCAAGAAGTCTTCAGCAGCAACAAGGAACCTCCTTGAGGGTGTGTGCACATGCAAATTATTATTTCTTTTTTTTAAATACTGGCTGTCTCCCACCGAAGCAGGGTTACCCAAAAAGGAAAAAGCACTTTTATCATCACTTGCTATCACTTTCTTGCCCTAGGCATGCTGACATTGCAGCACAGATGCCCCTCGAAACTGGAATATCCTCACATTTCCTTAGGATTGTAGGCACTGCTCTCTGAAGAAGAATAAAAATTAACAAATTTTGAAAATGGAAATACGCACATGCACCTAAAGAGGAAGCTAGTTCCAATTCCTTGAATCAAGAGCCTTTCACCAGCATCAATTGTTTACCAGTCTCAACAGACACTGCCAAAAAACTGAGATGTTATTTTTTCCCACAGTAATATGTAGAAATGAAAACAGGAAGGAGAGTCAAAAAAAATTGAAGAATACTTTAGCAAGCATTTCATTTACTGATGGCAAATTAGGTTGTGGTTCAGGGTATAGAAATAGAACAGCTCAATGGGAGAACAGATGTTGGAATATATTTAACAGAAATAACTGGGGAAAACGTACAGAGGAGGATGGCAAAGATGATCCCATGTATCAGAAATCTTCACTATGAGGACAGACTGAAGGCCCTGAATCTGCACTCTCTCGAAAGGCATAGAATTAGGGGGGATATGATTGAGGTGTATAAATGGAAAACAGGAATAAATAAAGGGGATGTAAATAGCGTGCTGAAAATTTCCAGCCAAGGCAGGACTCGCAGCAATGGTTTCAAGTTGGAAAAATTCAGATTCAGGAAGGATATAAGAAAGTACTGGTTTGGTAACAGAGTTGTGGATGAGTGGAACAAACTCCTGAGTACAGTTATTGAGGCTAAAACGTGTAATTTTAAAAACAGGTTAGATAAATACACGAGTGGGTGTGAGTTGGACCTGACTAGCTTGTGCTGCTGGGTCCGGTGCCGTGCTCCTTCCTTGAGTGGAAGTGACCAGACTGGGTGGGTCATTGGGCTAATCTGGAGGGGAGGGGCATGGACCTGCTCTGCCTGGGTCAGTAGGCTTGTTGCAGTGTTCCTTTTTTCTTATGTTCTTATATGTTGAAGAATATGTGGAAAGATAAGTTTATCTAGGGAGGTAAAAAAGATAACGTATCGAAGTACCAAAACTTTTATATAATGTTGCGGTGTAAAAGAGGCTAGAAGCAGCAGAGATGCCATGTTTGAAAGCAATAAATATGTGGTATGAATATCATCAATGTTCTTATCTTATCTATGTTCCGGTCAGCCGGACTTGAGTTCTGGAGGTGGGAAGTACAATGCCTGCACTTTAACCCTTTGACTGTCGCAAGCCCATTTCTGAAACTGTCATTGTCGCAAAATTTTTTGAAAAAAAAAAAATATTATTTTTTCTTATGATATGATAAAGAATCTTTTCCTGATGCTAATGACACCAAAAGTACAAAATTTGATCGAAAACTTATGGAATTACGCTCTTGCGAAGTTAGCTATCTCAGCAATATATACAAATCGGCGATTTTGCCAAATTTGAGCCCTATTTTCAGCCAATTCCCTTGTTCCAGTCGACCAAACTCATAGCCATTTCTTTAGAACTCCATTTTTTCTATCAACTGAGTACAAGAAACTGCCCGTTTACCGATTTCAACTACCCAATAAAGTGGCCAGAATTTGGCAATTTGGCCAATTTCACGCAAATTAAAAAAGATGTCAATTTCAAAATAGGGTCCAGAATAAACAATGAAGACATTCTTGGTACTAAAATAACATATCCTCTGTTCATTAGTCACGTCTCCAGGCCCCTCTTATACTATTACTCTTGCTTTCTATTTTGATTTTTTTCACGCAAAAAAAAAAAAAATAGAAAATTTACTGTTACGCAGATGACTGCATTATTGTAAAAATGGTATAAATAATATCAGTGCACTAATGAAAGAATATCAGACTCTCTAGTTGACGTGTATTGGACGTGTGGTGTGATTTGCTTACTCTTGAACACTAGTAAAAATCGAACATTTTTGCTACTTTGAGCTCAATTTCAAGGTCGTATTCATCATGAAACTAATCAAAATCATCTCTATTTCTGTAATATGTTTTTCATTCTATCAAACAAGACCAAGAAAACGAGAATACAACCATAAATTCTATACGAAAATACACCTCAAATTCGGCATTTTAATTCAAAAACACGGTCGGAGTTTTTTTTTCTCTCATGCACTGTGTGCTGCAGAATTTTTTTATACAGTGCACAATGACCACACAGACTGGGTTTGAGATACTGGCTGTTTGGAGTGACATGTAAACTGTCATATCTGGGTACCTCTGCAAAGACAGTGATTCTGTGTGAATGATTGTGAAAGTGTTTCTTTTTTTGTTCACCATGCATCTGTGGGAGATGGCCAGCATATTAAAAAAAAAAATTAATATCATGCACAGAATTTGGAGTGTAGAAATTAAAAGGCAGTGTGAAGTAACCAAGGGTAAATTAAGAGAGCTGAGGAGGGGGTTGTCAAGGTGGTTTGGGCATGCAGAGAGAATGGATAGGGATAAGTTGAAGGAGTGTGCCTATAATATTGGGTGGAAGGGAGGGTAAGTCATCCCAGGAATGGATGGGGAGAGGGAGGTACAAGAGGCTTTGAGTTTTAGGGACTTGAGGATCCAGCAGGCTAGTGCAAACGTGTTAGCTAGGTATGGATGGACACAAGTGGTTTTTAATGGACATGCTGTTGAAGTATGAGCAGGATGACTTTTATGAAGGGATTGAAGGAAACTGGTTAGCCAGACTTGAACCCTGGAGGTAGGAAGGGCAGTGCCTGCACTCTGAAGGAGGGGTGGGAATGCTGAAGAGGCAATCTGATTGTGATGTCAGCACACTTTTGGAAATGCAGCAATTGAGTGAGTGCTGGTTTTTTTTTTTTTTTTTTTTGGTGGTGGTGATGGGGGGGATGGGTTGGAGATCACCCTGTCTTGGTAGGAGACAACCACTAAGTTTAAAAAAAATTCTCTGTAAATAATACACTGGAACAAGCAATTTTTTTTACAGAAAAAAGTCATAAAAGAAGTACTAAATGAGCAAAAAAGCTACCACACATTCAAAACAGGAAAAGCCCAAAATACTTTTCACACAAGAATAATGCAATTAAAAAACTTTTGCAAGTATGGCCCTCTATTTATCTAATTAATCTAATTTACACAGGTTGATTAACAAGATAAACTAGATGGGGGAAACAAAACCTACTACAAAGCCACACTAATCCTTACAGGTATTTGCTGAACTTGTCCATCAGGCCCAATGATTTGCTGAATGATCTGAATCCCTCCTCCAGCAGTCTGTTGTGCAGCCTGTTGTGCCTGTTGTTGGCTTTGTTGTGCTTGGGTCTGAGGCTGCAGCTGAATGATCTGTGGTGCCTGCTGAGTCTGTGCTGCTGATGCTACGTTGGTTCCTGTTGTCTACATTGAATTACATTAACCTTTAAAATGTCCAAACGTAGATCTACGTTTTTTCAACATTTGAAAGTATGTAAAAAAATGTATATATATTTTTTTTTTACATTTGAAAATGTGTAAAAAAACTTGATCTACTTTTTTTTTTGTTATATTTGAAAATATGTAAAAAACCGTAGATCCACTTTTGCAGCACTACGCATGCGATCGCAAATCCGTTTGGATAGTTTAAGGGTTAAAACAAGGTTTTTGATATTCAAATTAGAAAAACTAAATTAAAAAATTATAGCAATATTTTATTCATTATGTCTTACTATACAATGAATATGAGCAGTAACTCGAGATATACATTCTCTACAAGGAAAGAAAAGGCATATATTTATACAATATTTTTTCCTAGTTACAATTAAACGTATGAAATTTTTTTTCGAGATATACTGTAAACCCTCTCATTAATGGACTAATGGGGAAAGGGGGAAACAATATTGGCAGTTATCCAAAACTTTTGAATTATGAAATTAATTTTCCATGATCATCCAGGTATCTTCTGAACTAGCAGACTTAGTCTGATTATGCAGAAGACAAACAGACCTGAAGAATATGGGTACTGTAACCTGAAGTAGTACAGTACTGTACTGTATAGTAATTTTATAGTACAGTACATAATTTACATTAATTTTGCTTACCTGTTCATGATGGAGAGATGAGGTATAAATTGACACGGTTAACAGTGGTGACTCAGAGCAACTTTTATTCTGAGTCAGAGGAACTGTAAAGCTCCTCTATCATCTACATTAAACTTAAGAGCACAGACAGTAAATCTGTCCTTGCTTCTATGGATAACAAACACTGTGTCTTAACACTATGTTCCTTACATATACCATGGCACTGAGATGCCAGACCTTCATTAGTTAAAATTTCTTCTTAACACTGAGAACCACACATTTTTTCTTGTCAGAAAAGCCATTTTTAATTTTATGTTATTTAATATGTTAATCAGGTCACAAAAATGCTCTAAATCCAGGGATAATTAGATATTGAATGAACAGTGTATGCATGAGCACAAACTGGAACAGGTGAACTATGGTTCAATGAACAATGAAAACAAAGGTCCTTGACGTGTCCACTCTGGCCAGTGCCAGACAAGTGTCAGTCACCAGGTTTGGTCTGATACTTCAGAAAGACAACTGGATACTATTGTTATGGACAAAATTCAGAATTGCAGACTTTTGTTCCTTTTGTCCAATATTTGTCTGGCCAATTGTTTGTCCAAAATTGCCAAAATACATAAATGAGAGGATTTACTGTATTTTCATAGAGTTATACAATGTACAGGTGGTCCCTGCTTATACAAGATGTGTTCTTTGTTGATCTAGGATCCACAGGCAGCAGAAAATAAGCTAACTGGCTACAAGTGGCCAGTGGTTGGACCACCCAGATATCATTCAGTGTATAGGTAGATTTACAGTTTACTTTAGGAAGATAGCAAACAGATAAAAAGAGTGTAATAAACACAGGCAAACTAAATTTTTTTTTAAATTACAAATTTAAAGGACGAGGGTAATTTTCTCTTACAAAAGTTGTTCTTATTATGACACCTATGGCATCTGTTGAAGAGCTCAGCTTTAATACTTTATATATATATTTTGCAAATATGCAACCACAAAGACCACACATGTATGCCCAAATATGAGATATGCTATTACAATATAAATTTTAGTTGCTTTCTTATATGAAGTGAAGAGCTGTATTTAGTAACCCCAGAAAGATATTACAATCAAGAGTTTTTTTTTTTTTTCAACAATGGAGAACAGACTATAGCCATGATGTTATAGGCAATGAGGCTGAACTATCAGTCTGTAAATATATCGAAGGCAAAGCTCACCTGAACTGTTGAAGCTTGACCTCCTGTTTGAACAATCTGGATGGTCTGGGGCTGGACAGAAGTCTGTTGTACAGAGTTCTGTGAGTTATTACTGTTGTTTGCTGTGGACTGCTGTAGCACTGCCTGGTAATGTTGTGCAATCTGGAAATAATGCTGTTGAGAAACTTGGTTAGCAATACTCAAACCCATGGTGAAATGTAATAAGAATGTCACCTGCAAACCTAACACAAATGAACCTCATGAAAAAAATATGAGATGACTTATCCCTAGCACCTAAGCACTTTCACAATACAACAAGAAATTCACAAGATATTGAAGACAAAAAGTTATATAAAGTGTAATGATGCGAGAGATTATGTTAATATGAAAAGTATTAATACACAAATTACCTGCACATAGGAGAGAAGCTTACGACGATGTTGGACCATTTACAAATTTACACTAACACAAGAGTGAGGAGGCCAGCATATGTAGGCAACGGGGAAGAACAAGGATGGGATGAACAGAAGTAGAAAAAGAAGTAGTGGTATTGGAAGAGTAGTAGAAAAAAATAGAAGTACTAGAAAGAAGGGAGAGTAATAGAAACAGCAGAAGTGAGATCAGTCTAAGGACAAGAAAAAGGAGCACTGCAGGAGAACTAAGGGCCCACAAGGGGAAGGACCCAAAACAGGGGGAAAAAACAGGACAGAACACCCTTGGGCAAAAGAGAGGAAAACAAAAAAAATAGGAAAGGAGAAGAAAGCATTAAGTCAGGTCACAAGTGTTTTAAAGTTTGGAGCATTTGACAATGTAATGAGACAAGAAGGCATCCACTACCAGTACTTCTTTTTCTCTCTCTCTCTTGGTTGCACCCTTTTTCACCACCCTTGCCTATAAATACTGGCCTCCTCATCCTGTTTTGTGTTAGTGTGACTTTGTAAATGGTCCAAGTTGGACCAAAACATTGTCATAAGCTTCTCTCTCCTATGTGCAGGTTATTTGTGTACTTTTCCAGTCATGGTAATGTGCCTTTTTTTTTTTTAATAAAAATTTACAGAATTCACTGCATGCACCCTTTAAGATAAACTGTACAAAAGAGGCTATCAATACATTACTGTCCTCACTTAAAATACAGTAGTCTCTCCTTACTTAACAACGAAGTTCCATTACTAAGAGTAGGTTGGTAAACAAACTGGTCACTGAGCGAGGAGCATACCATATTGGTAGTGGGTTTGTGTCACCCATCTTTAGATATTATTTTAATGTCACCTTTGCACCATTTATAACAGTTTTAGTATATTTTTAAATGTTTATACAGTAATGTAGTATATATTGCAATAAACATTTTAATCCAAAAACATGGTCAGTTTTTTTTCTCTCATGCACTGTGTGCTGAAGGATTTTTTTTATACTGTGCACACTGACCACACAGACCCATACTCTCACATGTGGGCCTACCAGCTTTCTCCTGCTTGATTTGAAGCTGCTAGAATTTTTGAGTATACATATGTTAAACACATTGGCTCGTAAGATGTATATAAACAACCACAACAGTCAAAGGGTTAACAAACTAGCCATATCCCCCTCCCCCAAAAATAAAATTATCTTTCTAAATTTAGTAATGTATACAGGAGAAGGGGTTACTAGCTCCTTGCTCCCAGCATTTTAGTCGCCTCTTATGACACGAATAGCTTACGGAGGAATTCTGTTCCATTTCCCCATAGAGATAAACAAGAACAAGAACTAGTAAGAAAATAGAAGAAAACCCAGAGGGGTGTGTGTATATGTATATAGTATGTGCTTGTACATGCATGTGCAATGTGACCTAAGTGTAAGTAGAAGCAGCAAGACATACCTGAAACCTTACATGTTTATGAGACAGAAAAAAGACACCAACAATTCAACCATCATGTAAAACAATTACAGGTTTATGTTTCACACTCATCTGGGAGGATGGTAGTGCCTCCCTGGGTGGATGCTGTCTACCAACCTACTACCTAGGATTATTAGAATTACATTGATTTATTTTAAGAAAACATTTCCATGGATGGTCATGTGAATAATTACCTGGTCTGTGGGAACTCCAGCTCGGTTGGCATCATCCCGACTCTTGGTAGGTTTTAGCTCATCTCTTGGAACAATGTCAATCAAGAAGTCAAACTGATCATACTTAGTAATTGCCATGGCTATATCATTTCTCTGTGGACAAGAGAAGCAAATTACTTTTGGATATACTTTTTGTAACACTGGCCATCTCCCAATGAGGTAGCGTGATCCAACAAGAAGAAAGCACTTTCACCACCACTCACTCAATCACTGTCTTACCATTAGCATGCTGACATTATAGTTCAGATGACCCCCCTCTAAACTGCAACATCCCCACCCCTCCTTTAGAATGCAGGATCTGTACTTTCCACCTTAAGGACCCAGACTGGCTAACCAGTTTCCCTGAATCCTCCAGCATGTCTAATCACAAAAAACCACTTGCCTCCACTCACTCCAATCTAACAACTTGACACAGGTTTGTTTAATGACCAAATCCCCTAGAGCTCAAAACCTTCTTTACTCCCTCCTCTATAACATGAGATCATCAACCCATGTTTATTCTAGTTTAGTCCTCATTACCCATATACAGTGGACCCCCGGTTAACGATACTTTTTCACTCCAGAAGTATGTTCAGGTGCCAGTACTGACCGAATTTGTTCCCATAAGAAATATTGTGAAGTAGATTAGTCCATTTCAGACCCCCAAACATACACGTACAAACGCACTTACATAAATACACTTACATAATTGGTCACATTCGGAGGTAATCGTTATGCGGGGGTCCACTGTACAGCATTAGTGAATGACTGCACCCAACTCATTTCTAGTCATGTACAGTGAACCTTTGAATTAAAAGGTAAATAGGGGTGGAGTGTACATTACTGCCAACTGTTTGTAGATTCCAAATTATAGCATTTATTTTTCCATGAGCATAACAAATGGACAAAGTACTGAATCAGCAGACTTGGTCCACTGATGTACAAGACTACCAGACACTAAAAATATTGCAACCTGTAAAACAGTACAGGGCAGTATACTAATTTTACAGTAATTTTACTTACCTCTTGTGGTGGAAAGACAAGGTGAAAAGTGCCATGATCAACAATGGTGACTCAGAATAACTTTTATTCCGAGTCATCACTAGTGAAATTGAAAGTAGCTGAGAAGTAGATGGCTAGCATCTACAATAACCTTAAGAGTGCAGTCTGTAAGCTTGTCCTTGATTCTATGGACATCAGACACTGTTTCTTAACACCCTATTACTCTCACACCTGTGCCACTGAGATGCCAGATTCAATTTTCCTTATCAGTTAAAGTTTCTACTTAAAATTGAGATTCTCACATTTCCTCTTGGCACTACCACTTGCTTTAGAAGTCATTGCTAATTGCACTTAGCATGTTCATAAAGGTCACACAGAACACTGTAAATCCAGTGAAAATTGGAGGCTGGATGATACGTATATGTATCTGTAAGTGAGCACAGACAAACTAATGCGGGTGGTCCATGGCTGTGTGAACAATGAAAATAGACAGGTTCTGGACAAGAACAATCTAGCCTGTACTTGACAAATGTCAGAATTATTGGACTTGGTCCACTGATTCAGAAGACTACCAGAGCACATCATTATGAACAAATGCCAGAATCTAAGGACTTTATCCATTTTGTCCGATGATGCAACATTTGTCCAGGCAATTTCTCTGTTCATAGTTTCCAAAATCCATTAAATGGGGGCTTCATTAATTTAAGGTTTTACTGCATTTTGGTCTTCTATTTCTCAATTTTTATTCTGAATTTTTATACCAGAGTCTGTGGGTATCTTCCTCTAGTACATGTAGTAAAATCAAGGTGATAAAATCCCTCTGTGTCACTCATTCAGATGTAAATAATGCAGTGAATGAGCATTTAAACTCCAGGATAATTTATAATAGTTTGCTTATAGTTTTACAGGATAATAATATTTTAGTTTAAAAATAGAAGAGGGGTCAGTGATAGTCTGATCACATAAAAGTGTGTGAGATCATGATGTACAAATCTGGGGAAAATATTAGGGGCATCAAAGAAAATGTCAGAAGGAAAATGTTAAAGATATTGAAAGGTCAGGTGCTGAACATCCAGCAAGCATATACAAACGAAACATTGGAGTGAATGAGAGTGGTATGAGATTTTTTTGTGCTATTGTAGTACAAGCCTGGTAATATCTATTTAGGGATTTACAGAAACTGATAAAGCAGATTTGAGCTTTGGAGTCAGGAAGTTCAGTGCCTGGAGTCTGAAAGTTGGACAGATACTTGCAACATACCTTTGACTGGTTTTGAGGGTTTTTCCAACCTTTGCAGTACCCAGCCTGAGGCCAGGCTTCCTGGTTGACTGCCTGGTCAACCATGCAGTTCTACAAGTAGCATCTATTTTTGTTCTGGCAATATTTCTTGTATCTGCTAGTACTGTAGTCATTTAATTGCTGTCTAGCCAGAAGCGTGCTGACATCACAATTCAGATTACCATCCAACTGCAACATCCTCACCCCTCCTTCACAATGCCAGCCCTTCCCACCTCCAGGAATCAAGTCCAACTAACTGGTTCTCCTGAATCCTTTCTTGTTACCTTGCTCATGCTCCAACACCACATCCACACACCCACAAAAAACCCACTTATCTCCATTCACTTCTAATATGCTCACAAAAGCTTGCTGGGTGCTCAAGTCCCTACAACTAGAAGAAGGATTATCCCCTTCCAACTATTCCTGGAATGATCCCTATCTCTCCTACCTTCCAACCCAGATTTATACATCCTCTTTACCATCCTATCCCTCTCAAGCCTCTCTAAATGTCCAAACCACCTCAGGAACCCTCTGAATTATACCCTTGATGACTCCCATACTGTTTCTGAATTTCTATACTCTAGACTCCTCTGCATAACATTCACACCACAGAATTATCTCAAACATAACAACCCTGCTGCTTCCAGCCTCCTCCTTGCCGCAAAGTTCAAAGTCCATTTATGCATCACACTCATACAAAAGTGTTAGTGCCACTATACTTGAGTATATTTCTTATTGGCAAAAAGCCACCATTTGTAGCAGATCCAACATCTTTATGTTCCCTTGTGTTCATTTTTTACAACTCCATCTATATATTAACCATCATGACAGTATGCATCCCTGTCTTAGTCCTACTTTCACTGGGAAATAGCCCCCCTTCTTTCATACATACCCTAATATGAGATTACCATTCACATGAAAACTCTTAAACTGCTTTTTGCAATGTATCTCCTATTCCCATACATTTATAACATTTCCACATACTATAGCTTCCCTAGCCACCATATCACATGGCTTTTCCAAATCCATAAATGCAGCAAAACTCTTTACCCTTTTCTAAGTAAAGTACTCCTAACTTAGGTGCTTCAGTGTAAACACCTCGTCTACACATCTTTCCTTCCTAAATCCTCCCTGCTCCTCTGCAATCCTACTTTCTATTATTTCTACCATACACCTTAGTAGGTATAATCTTACATTTCTTGTCCCCCATTTCCTTACAACAGAGAGCTGTGCAATACGGTGCTAATCTTTCAGTACCTTCCTTTCTATCATTCATACACTGAACAAATACGTCAAACACTCCAACACTTTCGCATATCCCCACCTGCTTTTAACATTTAACCTGTAAATGGTCCAAATGTATATATACTCTTACCGCTAGTGCCCCAAACGTATATGAACGTCTTATTTTTCCTGCCTTCAAATATGGCACGATTGGCCTGAGATGCCTTGTCACCATAGAATGGGTCATAACACTCAGTGTGCACTGTATTAAAAAAATCTGGGATCACTTAGTACCCTGTGGGAACACCAGTTCAAATGAGCGCCAGCTAGAGCAAACAGCACGGCAAACACCTGGGAGTCACTGATTTCATGTAGTATTAACTCTCCCATTTTAAGAGGAAAGTGATGTTGACCCCGAGTTTAGTGACTTTGAGGTGGATGTGGCCATAATTAGTCGAGGAAATATAAAAAAAAAACCTCGATAATAACCCATGTGCAACATCCTTTCAGAATGTCTTATAACCTATACCCTAAGTAAAGAGAAACAATTCTGGAACATAATACTTGTTCAGCAGGCTAGCTGGCTGACTGACTGGCTGGCTGGCTGATTGGCTGGCTGGCTGGCCAGCTGTGTGGCTGGCCGGCTGCTGGCAGCCTGGCTCGGTTTGTTTGTCTGTGTCTATGTCTACCTCTGTCTGTCTGTCTGTCTCTATCTGTTTCTGTCTGTCTCACAGGTACACACAAATACAAGTACGTACAGTGGACCCCCGACATATGATGTCACCGACCTACGATGCTTTTCGGCGTAAAAATTTGATCCCAACGTACGTTGAAAACTTGACCTACAGCATTCGTCCCGTACATGTCCACGTGTGTCCAGCCTGAGCATGCCTCAGTTGGCCTGCCTTCAGTTAGTGTGCCAGTGTTTACAAGCCAGAGTGGTCGCTCCCATGCATACATTTGGAACATTTTGTATTATTCCAGTGTTTTTAGTGCTTCTAACTCCTAAATAAGCCACCATGGGCCCAAAGAAAGCTTCTAGTGCCAACCCTGTGGTAAAAAGGGTGAAAATTATTATTGAAATGAAGGAGATAGTAAATAAATACGAAAGTGGAGTGCGTGCCTCTGAGCTGGCCAGGTTGTACAACAAACCCCAATCAACCACCTTTACTACCCTGGCCAACAAACAGGCAATCAAGGAAGTTGTTGCAAAAGGTGCAAGTATCTTTAAGAAACACAGATTGCAAGTGCTCGAAGATGTTGAGAGACTGTTATTGGTGTGGATAAACGAAAAACAGTTATCAAGAGACAGCATCTCTCAAGCGATCATATTTGAAAAGGCAAGGCAATCGCATAACGATTTAATTAAAAAAATGCCTGTAACTAGTGGTGATGTGAGTGAATTTAAAGCCAGCAAAGGTTGGTTTGAGAGATTTAAGAATTGTAGTGGCATACATAGTGTGATAAGGCATGGTGAGGCTGCCAGTTCGGACCACAAAGCGGCTGAAAAATATGTGCAGGAATTCCAGGACTATGTAAAGGCTGAACGATTCGAACACCAACAAGTGTTTAATTGTGATGAAACAGGCCTATTTTGGAAGAAAATGCCAAACAGGACCTACATTACACAGGAGGAAAAAGCACTGCCAGGACACAAGCCTATCAAAGACAGGCTTACTCTTTTGTTGTGTAGTAATGCTAGTGGGGATTGCAGAGTGAAGCCTCTACTCGTGTATCACTCTGAAACTCCCAGTGTGTTCAGGAAAAAACAATGTCATCAAGGCTAATTTGTGTGTGATGTGGAAGGCAAACAGTAAGGCATGGGTCACTAGGGACTTTTTCTATGACTGGTTTTACCATGTCCTTGGCCCCACTGTGAAAAATTACCTAATGAAAAATAAATTGGAGCTTAAGTGCCTCCTGGTAATAGACAATGCTCCTGGTCATCCTTCAGACTTGGCAGAGTGAATTTTGGGGGACTTGAGTTTTATTAAAATCAAGTTCTTACCTCCTAATACCACTCCTCTCCTCCAGCCCATGGACCAGCAGGCATTTAAAATTTCAAAAAATTGTACACCAAAGCAATGTTTCAAAAGTGCTGTGACGTGACCTCAGACACTCAATTGACCCTAAGAGAGTTTTGGAAAGATCACTTTAGTATCATCAGTTGTGTAAACCTTATAGGTACGGCTTGGGAGGGAGTGACTAAGAGGACCTTGAACTCTGCTTGGAGGAAATTGTGGCCAGAATGTGTAGAGGAGAGGGATTTTGAAGGGTTTGGGGCTAACCCTCAGTAGCCTATGCCAGTTGTGGAATCTATTGTGGCATTGGGGAAGTCCATGGGGTTGGAGGTTAGTGGGGATGATGTGGAAGAGTTGGTGGAGGAGGATGATGAAGAACTAACCACTGATGAGCTACAAGAGCATCTGCAACAGCAAGAGGCCAGACCTGAGGACATTGACTCACGAAATCGTAATGACACGATTGCAAACAAACCATACCACGGGCGGGAGTTTTGAGACTCTCTGACCACGGGTTCAATCCCGCCCGTGGTATGGTTTTTTTCTGAGGATATTGCTTCAGAGGAGGGGAGAGAGAAATTGAGGAAGTTGCCTTCTTCACAGATTAAGGAAATGTGTGCAAAGTGGGTTGAAGCGCAAACCTTTATGGAAGAAAATCACCCTGACACAGCTATTGCAAGCTGTGCTGGTGACTATTACAATGACAATGTTGTGAACCATTTTAGAAAAATCTTAAAGGAACGAGAGGTACAGAGCTCTATGGACAGATTTTTGGTGCGACAGAGGTCCAGTGACTCGTGTTCCCAGTGGCATTAAAAGAAGGGAAGTAACCCCAGAAAAGGACGTGCTACCTAAAGTCCTAATGGAAGGGGATTCCCTTCCAAAAAATAATAACCTCCATCATCTCCCCTCCTCCCATCCCATCACTCATCAACAGATCTACAATAAAGGTGTTATTTATTCTTCATTACAATATATATATTATGCATGTCTCCTTTTTTTGTGTAGGAAAATGTACATTTCACATGGTAAAAATATTTTTTTTCCATATTTTGGGGTGTCTGGAACGGATTAATTTGATTTCCATTATTTCTCATGGGGAAAATTAATTCAACCTACGATCATTTCGTCTTACGATGGGCTCTCAGGAACGGATTAATATCGTAGGTTGGGGGTCCACTGTACACAATGTAAATTACCTAGGATAACCCAAAAAATCCAAACAAAGTGCTATACTCTGCTTGAAGATATGAGTAAACGTGATGACGCAGTCTTGTGGCTCTCTCTGAGACAGAGAGCCAGATGGATAGACAGACAGACAGGGAGCTTGACAGACAGACAGACATGTTTGTGTACCAGCGAAAACAAAGGGAGGGCCGATGCTCATCAAATGTCACCTCTAATCTTTTCTTTCAAGTCTTATCACTGCACCCTCGTATGCTCATCAAATGTGAGCTGTTATCTAATGTTATCTCATCTTACCATGTCACTGTCAGGGGTGGACTGAGGCTTATTTTTATGCTTCAAGGGAACTTATTTTTTTTTTTTTTCAACAAGTCGGCCATCTCCCACCGAGGCAGGGTGACCATTTTTTACAACTCGCACATTATCACTGTTTTTGCAGAGGTGCTCATAATACAACAGTTTAGAAGCATACACATATAAAGATACACAACATATCCCTCCAAACTGCCAATATCCCAAACCCCTCCTTTAAAGTGCAGGCATTGTACTTCCCATTTCCAGGACTCAAGTCCGATTATGAAAATAACCGGTTTCCCTGAATCCCTTCACTAAATATTACCCTGCTCACACTCCAACAGATCGTCAGGTCCTAAGTATCATTCGTCTCCATTCACTCCTATCTAACACGCTCACACACGCTATTATTAGTATTATTATTCTCTTCTCCTCCTCCTCCTTCTTCTCATTCCTTTCCTCTCTCCTTCTCCTCCTCCTCCTTCTTCTCCTCCTCCCTCCTTCTTCTCCTCCTCCTCCTCTCCTTCTCCTCCTCCTCCTTCTTCTCCTCCTCCTCCTTCTCCTCCTTCTTCTCCTCCTCCTCCTTCTTTTCCTCCTTCTCTTCTCTCCTCCTCCTTCTCTTCCTCCTCCTCCTCCTCCTTCTCCTTCTTCTCCTCCTCCTTCTCCTCCTCCTTCTCCTTCTTCTTCTTCTCCTTCTTCTTCTCCTCCTTCTGCTTCTTCTCTCCTTCTTCTCTTCTTCCTCTTCTTCTTCCTCTTCTTCTTCCTCTTCTCCTTCTTCTTCTCCTTCTTCTCCTCCTCCTCCTCCTTCTCCTTCTCCTCCTCCTCCTTCCTCCTCCTCCTCCTCCTCCTCCTCCTCCTCCTCCTCCTTCTCCTTCTCCTCCTCCTCCTTCCCTCCTCCTGCTTCTCCTCCTCCCCCTTCTCCTCCTCCTCTCTCCTCCTCCTCCTTCTCCTTCTTCTTCTCCTTCTCCTTCTTCTTCTCCTTCTTCTTCTCTTCTTCTTCTTCTCCTTCTTCTTCTCTATCCAAAACATTGCTGGGACCTATAAATACTTTGTATATATTACAAGACAACAGTAAATGGCCAAGGCAGGTGTAAATGTTCACCTGTCAGTGTGTTTGTGACAATTTGAGAACAATTTCAGTACTTAATACTACTGTCAGAACAAAGATTGGTTATGAAATTACAAGAACTACCATAAATTGTAATTATCAGAATATAAAAATTATATAAAATAATATAAAAAATAGAAAAAAAGGTATATCGGCAACACTTCTGCAAGTGGCAGGACTCGATGTTGCTGTCAGGTGAGCATCCAGTGCCAATTTCTCGGCCTTATATCTCTGCAAGTACTGACCCTAATTTTTTTTTTATCCTATAACACTTAGAAAAATGTGCTCTTTATTTTCATAAAAAAAAAAAAAAAAACAAAATATTCGGGGCACTGGGGTAGTGAACGTATATATATGTTTGGACCGTTTACAGGTTAATCCTGTCTATATCCCAGCCACTTTACTCCCTTTCAATCTACTCTGTGCCTCACACACTTTCCCCATATCTGCCTCAGGCTTCTCCTAACTCCTAAAGGATGTTATCCTTACCCTTTCATCATTAACATTCAATAACTCATCAAAATATCTTCTCCATATGTATGTATATATTAAAATCAGTGAACAGCACCTAAAAGAAATCCTTGTGCTCTCACATTTAGGTACTTTGGATATGCAATGTACAATGAATTTACTATAAACTCATCTTGCTATAAACTCATCTTCAGCTACACTAAAAACAGTTACTGTACCTGCAATGTTCGACGTTTGTTATCCTCTGTGTGTATCCATGCTCTAAGGGTGAGCTCTGTGATGAATATCTCTGCAGCTTTGCTGAATAAAACTGGTGCCTCTGCACTTATCATCTTAACATCATCATCTAGCTTCATGATCCTCTTTATCCGTGCCAATGGTAGCTCTTGCTGCCGAAGGTCAGTCTGACCAAGTACATTCAACTTAAAAAAATGTTAATATAAAAATAGTAAGTTATTTTATTATACTACAGCATACACAATGACATACATCACTTACTTAAGAAATTTATCTCTTGACAAATTTCATGATTAAATGCCTAAATTTTTAATGTACTATTACCAACTCTCACTGAAATTATTAAGTAACTTACACCCTATGACAATTTTTTTTAAATTGTGCTCTGGCATGAAGTTACCCTTTTTTTTTATTATCACACTGGCCGATTCCCACCAAGGCAGGGTGGCCCGAAAAAGAAAAACTTTCACCATCATTCACTCCATCACTGTCTTGAATGATGGTGAAAGTTTTTCTTTTTCGGGCCACCCTGCCTTGGTGGGAATCGGCCAGTGTGATAAAAAAAAAAAAAAGTTAAGTTACCCTTATAAAGCATAAAATATTATATGGACAAACCTGTGTAAGTTGCCGTATCTCATCAGTAACCTTGGGCCAGAAGCTGTTGAGGTTTTGTTGTGCTTCAGTCAGCACTTGTGGGGTCACTTCTAGCTGCCCATCCACTGACATCTATAAGGGTAAAGGCAAATTAAAAGTCCTAAAAATACAAATAATTGTTGTTTTTACCAAAAAAAAAGCCTGTAACCAAAAATAAAATTCTCTTTTTGTATTTTTTGAAACAGTATGGGTCTGAACCTGCACCCTGGAAGTGACTATTGTGTAACCAATGAGGAACAGGTTACCAATCTGGTGGTAGCAGTAATCCCTAGTGTAAGAAGCCAGTGATATCTAAATTTTTGACTAAGCTACAGATGCTGGACCTGCAAACCTGACCAGGAATCCTTAGTGACAGTATTACATTATGCTCATTACCACTGTAACTTGCTTAGATATCTAATCAAAACATTAACAACAGGTGGTATGGGAATACCTACAAATTGTACACTTGATAAAGATAAACAACAACTGAAAACTTTAAGACACTGTTTCACCTGTACAGCAGGCTTTTTTGTCTGATAAATTATGACTGGTGGTAGCATAGCATAAAAGTAGTCAAGTGTGAACAGAAGAATTAAGCAAATATTGAGAAGCACTGCAATCAGCCTACTGGTCCATATTAGGCAAATCTCAAGATACATTGTCATACTGAGTAGTGGTGTGGCATGGGGACATGGACCTGCTTCGCACAGGTCAGTAGGCCTGCTGCAGTGTTCCTTCTTTCTTATGTTCTTTAGTAGTAATAGTAGCTTTGGTGGAATTATCAGCATACTGAGTGGTGTGTGATTCATGACAGTATGATTTGGTATTCAAGTTGGTAGAATTACCAGCAGAAATATTTGTCTAACCTATTTTTATGCTACCCAAACACTTGCATCCTTTTACCTAACAGTATGATTTGTTGACCAACCATATTGCTAGGGGTTTAACTACATGCAAGTTTCTTTGGTTTTGAGTAATTGTTAGTTGTTGTGATAAACACAGTTCCATAACATTCTTTCATATTTGCCACCTTTTATTATAAGTTTTGCATCAGAAAACCTCATCAAATAGTTGTGCGAGTTCTTGTGCTGGATGCACGTATTGTTCAGCTTATTGGTTTGGGTTACGCATTTTTATTCACACCTGCCTATGTTCCTGTCTTCAACCTAATAGTATTACCACCAGGTATAATTTATCAGACTTTCAAAAGTCTGCTGCACTGGCAAAATATTGTCTCAATTCATATCTCCAACTGCTGCATGTGTGCCTTTATTAGCTATCAACACATTTTGACCTAGTCTGTGGACCCATATTGTGCCTCTTTTTCACCACTACTCATGGATGGGTTTGGAGGTGAACAACAAAACTACTCAACTAGTTAACATAGGGATTTCAAAAAACACCTCTATATATCAATATATGGAATTTGGATCCTTCAGGAATTTAGAGATAATTTAAATTGTCCAATATTAACTTTTAAAATTACAAAATAGAAATACTGGAGGGATTTGGATGTGCTTCTACTATGTTATAGCTTGGCCCATTCTACTAAGAATCAGTCTTTATATCACCTTATGAGCAATTGGTAATGGCCTGCTCTGAAGTCTGGAACTACACAGCTTCATATCTCATCTTTCCCTTGGAGATGAGTTAGAACTATCTAATTTGTTACTTGAGGACAATGAGTTTTCCCTACTCAGTAGCTACACACAATGTTGTGTGTAGCTACTGAGTAGGCTGTGGAACCTTTTCAAATGTGAGACCTTAACAAGACCTTGTAATGCTGATTAAATAACTTTTGCAATGTAGATAGTGGTATTTTGTGTAAACTGAAGAAAAATTAATTAACCTTAAGCCAACCAAACTGAAACTAGCCTAAACTAACCCAACCTAATGAAAAAAATTGCACAACAAATAACTAATTTTTCTGAGGTACAGACTGCTTGTGTTGTAAAAAAATAAAAGAATGGATGATAATAGTTACTAATACCTATTCAGTAAAACTTGGCCATTATTTTACACTTCTCAATAAATACAACCTATCTACATCATGAAATATGTAATCATTTCTTGTACAAACTGTTATTTTGGGAGACAGTATAAGGAAAAATACTGTAATTACATTTACTCAGGTGGCACAGGACATGAAGACATGTCTCGTGCCTGGCTCAATGTGAACACAGACATGTGGCATTTTCAGGTTAAGCTACCATAACCTAAGTGCACACAACCTATCCTAACTTAACCTAACCTAGCTATACCATTCTTGTTAATATTTCCATAATAAACATTTGCAAAAGAAATATCTACTTATTCCATAATGTACACAGGTTGCAACATGTCTACACAGTAATGAAAAGCATGAAGTAATGGCCGCGTTCTACCGAGTTCTTGATCACTATAACCGAATGGAAGTTGCAGGGACCCGAGCTCAATATTAAGTACCTGTGGCTCACTTGATAGCACACTCAGCTTTTATATTAAGTGAACAGGAACAGCTAAAACATCTGCTGTCCCTGTTTGCCTAGCAGTAAACAGGTACTAGGTGTTAGCAGTGTTGTGGGTCGCATCCTGGGGAGCAAGGTTAAAGGACCAAAATTGAAATAAGACCGTTCCCAATGACACACTGACTTTATTGGGCCATCCGGGGTGGCTAAACCACTGGGTTAAACAATCCAACAAAATCTGATTTTAGCCCTTAAGGCAAAGGGACTGATCACCTATCAGCTCCTGAAGGCTAAAGGCCTGAACACTTCAAAATTACTTATTCCCTTCTTACATTGTCCCATGGCCTGGTAGGCAACAATCTTGCCTCACACACTGAGTGTCCGTGGTTCAATCCCGGCCAGGTAGAAACATTAGGGCGTGTTTCCTTACACCTGCTGTCCCCATTCACCTAGCAAGCAAATAGGTACCAGAGTGTTAGTCGACTGGTGTGGGTGGCATCCTGGGGGAGAAGACTGGACACAATGAAAATAAGAAACAGTCCTTGATGACGCAGACTTTCTTGGGTTAACCTTGGTAGCTAACCCTCCGGAATTAAAAATCCGAACAAAACCTTTCTTTTCTTAGTGTCTCCAATTCTCGCAGATTATTATTATTATTGTTATAAAAAAAGAAGCGCTAAGCCACAAGGGCTATACAGCAAACGTTTCGGCAATGGAGTGTAAAGTGTAACACGGCTTATTCACTAATCTGCTCTTCCCAAGCACTACTTTTACAGTTCATGTTGTTTTCTAAATTTAAAGCATTATCATCATTAACACTAATCCATTCGGGGTCATACAGCGCCTGGGGATAAATTTTTTTTAAATTAGCCAGAGAACTGGAGTGGGCGCCACTACCAGTCTTATGCGATACAAGAAAAAAAATAAAAACCCTCTGGGCCTACAATGAGGGTTGTAGACATACTTTGTGTGTATGGTAGTGAGGTGAGTAAGAGTGAGGGTGTATGAGGGCAGCAGGAGGGTGTATGAGGTCCCCACAGCAGCACACACACACACAGCATCCTTGTCCCAGCCAGACACACTCCACACACCTTGTAAACAAAGATGGCGCATCTTTAAATATATACATGGAATTATATACATTAAATTAAGCAAGTTTTTAATATTAAAGCTTTGAATTCATAGCGTGCAATTATTTTTACAATAGTCTTGAGGATACATAGGCATTATGAGCACTTAATGGGTGAATTATGCTGGTTTAATTTGGGATAGGCCAGTAAAGTGAAACAAAGTGACATTTCTAAAATAACCTCAAATAAATGGTGCAGTTTTTTATAATGATTTAAAGAGCATCGTTCTGTTTGAAAAAACTAACATAAATAACACAAGTTTACAAATAAATATTTTTTCTGGCATTTTAGAATCTGAAAATATTATGAAGCCGTGTAAAAGATGGTGCTTAAAAACTATTAAACACTTTGTTTCCCTCAAGGGTGGCTCAGTTGGTAGCGCACTCCCTCACACAATGAATGTACGGGTGGAAACGTTGGGCATGTTTCCTTACACCTGTCCTTGTTCACCTAGCAATTTCTATATGGCTCTCATTTAGAAACTAGATCACCTATCAATAACTGGGCTTCTACTTTTTTTTCACAACAATTTTACAAGCTAAGAGCTGTTATCCTACCTCAGCTCATTTCGAAGCCCAGCCCTATCTAAGGTATATTACCACCCCCAGAATGCGACCCACACCAGCCGACTAACACCCAGGTACCTACTTATCGCTAGGTGAACAGGTACAGCAGGTGTATACCTGATGTACTTGTGTCCATGTATTGTTTGTAATGGCTTGATAAAGCTAGCTGGGGAGCGAAACGTTGCCACAATAAAATGTCACATTAGTTGCACTTGTGTCCTTTTACTTTACATATTGTCGGTAATTCTACCAACATTAATACAATACGAAAAGAGCTTCATTGACTTGAGACTTAGGGAGACTGACACCGGTCAATCACTCTATCATGCTGAGGAGCCACATGTGTATGGTGCATCTAACAAAATAAGCAGATTGAATATCAAAATGGTATACAATACCGACAGGTTGGTAGGTAAGACACATAGGCAACAGTTAGGCATCTTTATTCCGAAACGTTTCGCCTACACAGTAGGCTTCTTCAGTTGAATACAGAAAGTAGGCAGGAGCAGCAGAGATGTGAAGACGATATAATCAATCCATCACCCTTGAAGACGTAGTTTTGAGGTTGTCAGTCCCTCAGCCTGGAGAAGAGTTCTGTTCCATAGTCTGAAACAATGTGAAGATCAAGTATGTATGTATAATGTTCGCCAAGACCGTAGTCCTGGCACGGGTCTCAATCTTGCGATGACCCGTCTCTGGCTCCCGAGGGAGAAGATCAAGTGACAATGTGGAGACTTATATACTGTCCAAAGGAGAGGTGTAGCGTAGAAGAATGTAATCTCTGAGATCTAACCATTCTCATTTGAAAAAATTGTCCAAGGTGTTTTCTCTTCTTTCTCTTGGATGATGTTTTCAAGTAAGAATAGTTAAATATGAGAGGGACGTGACCTCTCAGTGGTTACATTATTTCTTCTACTACTCTACACCTCTCCTCCGACAGTATATAAGTCTCCACACTATCGCTTGATCTTCACATTGTTTCAGACTATGGAACTCTCCTCCAGGCTGAGGGACTGACAACCTCAAAACTATGTCTTCAAGGATGATGGACTGATTACATCGTCCTCACACCTCTACTGCTCCCATTTGAAGACTTGTTTTCTTCGACCGAGAATTCTGTGATATCCGCCACTAGAAAGGGAGTTTGAAAAAAACACCAGCAACTGTTTTCCAAGAACACAGTCATCAAAGCGCAACTTGAAATTTTTGATCAGCTTCTCAATGAAATAGACATATTTAGTAGCTGTTTCGTCATTACGTTGCTCCAAAAGTCTGGAGAAATGTAGAAAGTTCCAATTTCTCCTGAAGCTCGCGGTCCAACTAGAACACTCTGAAGTCCGGATTCGGACCGCGGGCGCCAATTGAGTAGCCCTGATATAGAAAGCCGCTTGTTATGCAGAGCATTTCTGGCAGATTAGGTAAATTTTGTCCCAGGATGCGACCCACACCAGTCGACTAACACCCAGGTACCTATTTTACTGATGGGTGAACAGAGACAGCAGGTATCTTAAGGAAACACGTGCTAATGTTTTCACCCGCACTGGGTATCGACCCCCGGATCTCAAAGTGTGAACTGAGTAGAAATAAGTCGCTTTGTCTGACTTTTTTTGGGGTTATCCTTGGTAATTTACACATATGTTACTATGTATGATAATCTGTGTAACTGTATTTATGTGTACCTGTACCTAAATAAACTCACGTACTTCTTTGGCCAGATATGGGCAATATTTCTCTCCTCCTCCCGGTACATCGGGAAGCAGGACTCGAATTATTATAATCATGGGGAGCGATAAACCTGTAGGGGCTATACAGCGCCTGTATGGGAGGGTATTCAGGCTTAATTCAGGGACTGGAGCACAGATCCAATTGGTTTAGAAAAACACATAAGCAAACACTAGGACATATTTATTAGAAAATGTTTCGGTCCTGGGACCTTGATCACTTCTAAGACACAGGTTGAAAGACATTTTATATATAGGCAGAAAGTGTCTTTCAACCTCTGTATGTTAGAAGTGATCAAGGTCCCAGGACTGAAACATTTTCTAATATGTCCTAGTGTTTGCTTACGTGTTTTTGTAACCAGGTTGTCGGTATTTATTACCAAGGTTTATACCACAGATCCAATTGCCTAGATCAAGAGCCCCTCACCAGCATCAAGGAACCTCCCTTGAGGGAAGCAGAGCCAGAAGCTGCATCAGCAGTCAGTCACCCTTACTAACCCAGTAAGAGTAAGAGTTGTCTGTACCTGCTACTGTAACTGTCTTGTACCTGGTGTACCTAACTGCCTGTACCTAGTGTAACACTGTACCTGCATCACTGGAGGCTTCATGAGTCCTTTGTAATCTGTGGAACATTAGTCATGTGGTACCTGCGTGGTAAACCTTGTGGTAACTTGTTGAAGCATCAGCTGTGATGCTGTCATCTGCTGCTTGATGTCTTCCTTCAGAGATGCTGTGACAATTTTTCAAAGCTTTTTCGTTCCAGAGAATTTGAGCTGCTCTTACCTTGGATCATACCTTATAACTTTTACCGACCTTTTTTTTTGGGGGGGGGGTTATCCTAGGTAATTTACACTATATGATAATTGTACTTGAGTGTTTATTTTTTATAAATGACCATAATTTTTAAAGGGGTGGACCGGTAAGCCAGCGGAAGGCCTCGGTCAGATGACCAAAAGCTCCAAAGGCGGGTCATCATCTGACTAAGACCCGCGTCAGGAAACATTTGTCCTGTTAAACCATACCCCCGGCCGGGGGTATGGTTTATTTGCAATCGTGTCATTACGATTTCTTAAGTCATTTGTCCTGTTTCCTGACGAACCTTACCTAACCTAACCTAACCTTAAAGCAACTTACTGGTTAGAAAAGTTCACTTAAAGTTTATACACGAGAGTTTTCTGGAAGTGTTCACTTCATCAAGGTTTATATGTGAAAGTTTTATGTTTCCTTCCCCTCAAGGAAGGTTCCTTGATGTTGGTGAGGGGCTCTTGATTTAGGGAATTGGATCTGTGCTCCAGTTCCCCGAATTAAGCCTGAATGCCTTCCACATCCCCCCCCAGGCGCTGTATAATCCTCTGGGTTTAGCGCTTCCCCCTTGATTATAATAATAATAATGTGTTTCCTTCATGGTTTATACACGAAAGTTTTATGTACATGTTCACCAAGGTTTATACACATTAGTATATATTTAGAAATTTTAGCATACATACAGAGGTACAAAAAAATACAGGTAAGAGCAGCATGCCAAAGCCACTTATATGCATAGCATTACGGGCTGGCTTAAAATTAACTTAAGATTAACTAAGCAATGATGAAATCAGTGATAAAACATTATTGTAAACAGATAACTATAAAGCACAAATGAGTATTACAAAGACAGGTCATATGGTTGCATACATTGCTGTACATTCAGTAGAATGGAGTATTCTGTTAGGTAGTGTATTTAAAAAAATAACAAATTTTAGATTGGGTCCTAGGTTTAACATTTATGTGATATAATTGTGAGTAACATTTAGGATATACAATTTTAAGGTTCAGTTATTCAGTATTTATTTGGTTTTGAGTGAGTAAGTGATCATTGAGAAGAGACTTGAATTTATAAACAGGTAGTGTTTCTTTTATATTTACAGGTAATGAATTCCAGATTTTAGGGCCTTTTATGTGCATTGAGTTTTTGCATAGCTTGAGATGGACACGAGGAACATCAAAGAGTGATCTGTGCCTTGTATTATGGTCATGTGTTCTGTTGAGGTTGGCAAGGAGATGTTTGAGGGGAGGGTTAATATCAGAGTTAAGTGTTCTATGTATGTAATAGGTGCAGTAATAAGTATGGATGTTTTATATGGTGAGTAGGTTGAGTGTTTTGAATTTTATGTGCATATGAATTGTGGACCAAGATCAAATGTTTTTTTTTTTTTTACTGAAGGGAACAGCGCTGTATAGCCCTTGTGGCTTAGCGCTTCTTTTTGATTATAATAATAAAATTTACTGAAGGGAAGGACTAAACTGGAAGAGAGTCCTGCAGCACCTGGAAAATGTGAGGAAATCAGGTTTGATCCAAGGAAGGGGAGATCAGATTCAATTCCTTGGATGAAGAGCCCCTCACTGGCCCCAGGGCACCTCTCTTGAGGGTTGAAACTGATGAGCTTTAGGTACAGGTACACAAAAACAATTATCATACAGTTTAACATACATGTACATTACTTAGGATAACCCCAGCAAAAGTCACAATGAGTTATTTCCACTGGGGTCCTGGAGTTTACCTGGAGAGAGTTCCGGGGGTCAACGCCCCCGCGGCCCGGTCTGTGACTAGGCCTCCTGGTAGATCAGAGCCTGATCAACCAGGCTGTTACTACTGGCTGCATGCAATCCAACGTATGAGCCACAGCCCAGCTGGTCCTTGTAGTTCTACTGAAGAAAATCATTGTCACTGTTTAATAATTAAAGATTTTAATGAAAACTACAAAATTACATTGTTAAGAAGTTGAGGGTCACTTAAGTAGAGTATTGGTAATTATAAGTGAGTGTGTGTACTCACCTATTTGTGGTTGCAGGGGTCGAGTCATAGCTCCAGGCCCTGCCTCTTCACTGATTGTTACTGGGTCCTCTCTCTCCCTGCTCCATGAGCTTTATCAAACCTCGTCTTAAAACTATGTATGTGTATGTGTACTTACCTATATATATATATATATATATATATATATATATAGGTAGTAGGTTGGTAGACAGCAACCACCCAGGGAAGTACTACCGTCCTGCCAGATGACTGTGAAACAGAAACCTGTAACTGTTTTGCATGATGGTAGGATTGCTGGTGTCTTTTTCTGTCTCATAAACACAAGATAACAGGGATATCTTGCTACTCCAACTTACACTTTGGTCACACTTCACAGACACGCACATGCATATATATATACATACATCTAGGTTTTTCTCCTTTTTCTACATAGCTTTTGTTCTTCTTTATTTCTTCTATGGTCCATGGGGAAGTGGAAAAGAATCTTTTCCCCCGTAACCATGCGTGTCGTATGAGGCGACTAAAATTTCCGGGGGCAATGGGCTAGTAACCCCCTTTTTCCTGTAGACATTTACTAAAAAGAGAAGAAGAAAAACTTTATAAAACTGGGATGCTTGAATGTGCGTGGATGTAGTGCAGATGACAAGAAACAGATGATTGCTGATGTTATGAATGAAAAGAAGTTGGATGTCCTGGCCCTAAGCGAAACAAAGCTGAAGGGGGTAGGGGAGTTTCGGTTGGGGGGGAAATAAATGGGGTTAAATCTGGAGTATCTGAGAGAGGGTTTGAGCAAAGGAAGGGTAGCAGTAATGTTAATGATCAGTTATGGAAGGAAAAAGAGAATATGAATGTGTAAATGCAAGAATTATGTGGATTAAAGTAAAGGTTGGATGCGAGAAGTGGGTCATAATAAGCGTGTATGCACCTGGAGAAGAGAGGAATGCAGAGGAGAGAGAGAGAGATTTTGGGAGATGTTAGTGAATATATAGGGAGCCTTTGAAACAAAATGAGAGAGTAATTGTGGTAAAGGGGGCCTGAATGCTAAAGTAGGAGAAACTTTTAGAGAGGGTGTGGTAGGTAAGTTTGGGGTGCCCGGGTAAATGATAATGGGAGCCCTTTGATTGAACTTTGTATAGAAAGGGGTTTATTTTATAGGTAATACATATTTTAAAAAAAAAGAGGATAAAAAGTATACAAGATATGATGTAGGGCGAAATGACAGTAGTTTGTTGGGTTATGTATTGGTAGATAAAAGACTTTTGAGTAGATTTCAGGATGTACATGTTTATAGAGGGGGCCACAGATATATCAGATCACTTTTTTAGTTGTAGCTACACTGAGAGTAAAAGGTAATGGGATACAAAGGGGAATAGAAGCATCAGGGAAAAAGAGAGGTGAGGGTTTATAAACTAAAAGAGGAGGGAGTTTTGGGTAAGATATAAACAGCTATTGGGGGGATAGATGGGCCCAAAGAGAGCATAGGCAATGGGGTCGAAGAGGTATGGGGTAGGTTTAAAAATGTTTGTGTTAAGTGTTCAGCAGAAGTTTTTGGTTGCGGAAAGTGGGTGCGGGAGGGAAGAGGAGCGATTGGTGGAATGATGATGTAAAGAGAGTAGTAAGGGAGAAAAAGTTGCATGAGAAGTTTTTACAAAAATAGAAGTGATGCAAAGAGGGGAAGAGTAAAATGGAGAAAAAGAGAGAGGTTAAGAGAGTGGTGAAGCAATGTAAAAAGAGAGCAAATGAGAGAAATGGGTGAGATGTTATCAACAAATTTTGTTGAAAATAAGAAAAAGTTTTGGAGTGAGGTTAACAAGTTAAGGAAGCCTAGAGAACAAATGGATTTGTCAGTTAAAAAATAGGAGAGAGAGAGTTATTAAATGGAGAGTTAGAGGTATTGGGAAGATGGAGGAATATTTTGAGGAATTGTTAAATGTTGATGAAGATAGGGAAGCTGTGATTTCGTGTATAGGGCAAGGAGGAATAAATCTTGTAGGAGTGAGGAAGAGCCAGTTGTGAGTGTGGGGGAAGTTCGTGAGGCAGTAGGGAAAAGAAAGGGGGTAAGGCAGCCCGGGGTTGATGGGATAAAGATAGAAATATTAAAAGCAGATGGGGATATAGTTTTGGAGTGGTTGGTGCAATTATTTAATAAATGTATGGAAGAGGGTAAGGTACCTAGGGATTGGCAGAGAGCATGCATAGTTCCTTTGTATGAAGGCAAAGGGGACAAAAGAGAGTGCAAAAATTATAGGGGGATAAGTCTGTTGAGTATACCTGGTAAAGTGTATGGTAGAGTTATTATTGAAAGAATTAAAAGTAAGACTGAGAATAGGATAGCAATGAAAAAGGAGGCTTTAGGAAAGGTAGGGGGTGTGTGGACCAGGTGTTTACAGTGAAACATATAAGGTGAACAGTATTTAGATAAGGCTAAAGAGGTCTTTGTGGCATTTATGGATTGGAAAAGGCGTATGACAGGGTGGATAGGGGGGCAATGTGGAAAGATGTTGCAGGTGAAATGGTGTAGGAGGTAGGTTACTAAAGCAGTGAAGATTTTTTTAACGAGGATAGTAGGCTCAATTTGGGATTTACATGGGAAAAGGGGGAAAAATTTTTTCCCAGTAAAAAGTGGGCCCTTAGACAAGGATGTGTAAAATGTCCCCCGGGTTTTTTTTAATTAAAAATTTATAGAGGGGTTGTAAGAGAAGAAAATGCGAGGGCCCCTTGACAAGAGGCTTTGGATTTAAAAAGATAAAGAATCACACAAAAGGGGGAAAAGGTTGTCACATTTGGGCTCTTTGCTGATACACTGTGTTTTTGGGGAGATTCTAAAGAAAAAGGGTTTGCAGAAAATTGGTGGATAAATTTTGGGTTTGGGGTGTCCCCAAAAAGAAGAAAATTAAAAGTGATACGGGAAAGAGTGGGTTTAAAATGGGAAAACAAAAATATTGGTGATGAAAGTTTGGATATCAGATTGGGGGGAAAGAGAGTATGGAGGAGGTGAATGATTCAGTTTATTTGGGAGGGGGGAGTGTCCGGATGGGCCCTAGGGAAGGGGATAAAATCATAAATTAAGAGGGAAAAAGAGTGATTTGGTGCACTTAGGATTTGGGTGGAGACAAAAAAAACTTTGTCCTTGGAGGAAAAAGGGGGGAATTTTATGAGAGTATATTTTTTACCAACGCTTTTTTTAAAAGGGGTAAAAGCATTGGTGATGAATTTTTGAAAAGGGGGGAGGAGAAGGCGGGAGGCAGTGGAGATTTTCATGTTGGGGGCAATGGGGGGTGTGAATAAAATCCCGGGGAAAATTTTGTATTTTGGGAAATTTGGGAGGAGGTGGGGATTACAAAAACGTTGTCCAAAAGGGCTGGGGGGAAAGGGTTTTTGAGGTGGTTTGGGAAAACATGTAGAGAGAAGGGAGCCAAAAAAGAAGGGATTTCCCAAGGGGTGTACATCGGGAGGGAAGGAAGGGGGGGGGTGGGGGTCGGCCTGGGAAAGGGTTTGGAGGGGGGGGGTAAAGGGGGTTTTTTGGTACGGGGGCTTGGCCCTTCCAGCGGTTTGGGGCGTGAGGTTTTGGATGGGAGTGAATGGAGCGAATGGTTTTTTAAATACTTAAACGTGCTGTTGGAGTGGGGAAAAAGGGTAACATTTTGAAGGGGCGGGGAAAAAGGGCCAGGGCCGGGACTTGAGCCCCTGGAGATGGAATTTAAGTCCCTTTGCACTTAAAGGGAGGGGTTTTAAAAGGGTTGCATTTTAAAAATGTAGTGAAAAGCCCCCTTTTGGCAAAAACAGTGATGGAGTGAATGATGGTGAAAGTTTTCTTTTTGGGGCCCCCCTGCCTTGGTGGGAATCGGCCCGTGTGATAATAATATATAAAAAACCCTTCTCCCAGGGTAAAGGGTCCCCCAATTTACAAACCCGGGTGGACCCCATTATAATATTAAATATATATATATTTATTTTATTTTATATATTTTAAAAATATTTTATATAAATATATATATATATATATATATATATATATATATATTTATATATATAATTTTATATATATAAAATTTTTTTTCAACAAACCGGCCGTATCCCACCAAGGCAGGGGGGGCCCAAAAAGAAAAACGAAAGTTTCTCTTTTAAAAAATTTTGTAATTTAAAATAAAATATATATATATATATATATATATATATATATATATTATATATATTTTAATATATTTTTAAAATATATGTATTATTTATTTATTTATTGCAAATTTTCAAATGTCTGCAGGGATTGAGCAAAATTTTCCCAAAAAACTTAAAAATATTAAAATTCACAAATAAGTTTGTGTTTTGAGAGGTCTTCAGTGCTGTGAAGGGTTTTTAATCTAAGGAATTTGAGTTACCCTTCCCTTCGATGAAACCTGATTACTTCACATTTACCAGGCGCTGCATAACCCTTAGATTTTAGCACTTCTTTGTGAATACAATAATTTGCAGTCAAATTTATTTTGTCAATGAAATTTGAAAACATTACCTTTTTTCTTGGATTTACTTGACTTCATTGAAGTTATTAAGGTATTCTTTATATGACCCTTCATTCTAACCAATGTATTAATTGTTTGTAAGACCACTTAAACCTTACAAATATATTAATTCTTTGTAAGACCACTTGAACCTTACCTAGGCATTGATTCTAAGGGTTAATTTACTTTTGTTACATTATTTATTTAGATAAGCTGTGCATGGAGGTGCCTCGATGCCAGTGAAGGGCTTTTGATCCAAGGGCTATGTACCACAGTGTAAGAGTCATCTGCCACAATGTAAAGGTCGTGTGTTACAATGTAAGAGTTATGCTCCAAGGCAAAAGAGAATTGGCACCACGAAAAAACTAAAACACTTGTAAAAAATAAATATTTCTGTGAGAAGCCTTTCAGTAAAAATGCTGAATGTAGATGAACGGTCCAGAGAACCGACAAGTTGATAAATTAATACAGGGAATTCTTCACTTGCCTAACCCTTGGTCATAACCTACTTCCACATTGGACAAATGTGATACCACCTACTACTACTGCACCTCTCCTGCCTACAGTACATAAGCTACTTCTTCGCACATATGCAGTATTCTTTTCAAGATTGATGGACTGACCACATCGACTCAAGGCTGAGGGACTGATTACCTCATTCTCCTCCTGTTCTTCATCGTTCTCCTTTGTATGGACTGATGAAGCCACTGTGTGGTGAAACGTTTCCTCATTAAAGATACCCAAGTGTTGCACATGTGTCTAATTTATCAACTTGTCAGTTCTCTGAACCATTCATCTACATTCCTGTCTGACACAGCAACATCTTGGGATCTTAATACAGGGAATTCTTCACTTGCCTAACCCTTGGTCATAACCTACTTCCACATTGGACAAATGTGATACCACCTACTGGCTGCTGCACCTTTCCTGCCTACAGTACATAAGCTACTTTGCACATATGCTGTGTTCGTTTCAAGATTGATGGACTGACCACATCGACTCAAGGCTGAGGGACTGATTACCTCATTCTCCTACTGTTCACTGCTGCACCTTTCCTGCCTACAGTATATAAGCTACTTTGCACATATGCTGTGTTCGTTTCAAGATTGACAGACTCACCACATCGACTCAAGGCTGAGGGACTGATTACCTCATTCTCCTACTGTTCTTCACAGTTCTCCTTTGTATGGACTGATGAAGCCACTGTGTGGAGAAACGTTTCCTCATTAAAGATACCCAAGTGTTGCACATGTGTCTGATTTATCAAAAATGCTGAATAGCAGAGTTTTTGCAACTATAATATTTTGTATACTGTACATATTTAACTCCCATTTTGTCAGGTATAATGTATGCTGCTTGTAGCTTCCTTCGTCCAGCATGGGTGACCTCTCGTAATACTCTCAAGAAATATTGCACTGAAGTGCCTGCAACACCAAAGAGAAGGAAACGGGTTTTGGGATTAATTGGAAAGATCTCTGGTGGTGTAGTGGTGGCAGTGCCAACAGCTGGTGGCATATACTATGCTCTCAGTGATGATATTACCAAGAGGCAGACCAGAGTCACTGTTGAGGGAATTGGAAGATTCTTCAGGTAAAACCCCTTCAAATGTTTTGTAACTTTATTCCTTAATAAATACTTTTTTTATAAATGCAGTTGTTTGTATTTCTCAAGCACTTATACTAAATATTTTTTATCCATGCTCTCAGATACTGTACATCCATCCAGAGTGCATTGTCACTGGAAATGTTTAACAACTATGATAAGAAGCTTTGATATTAATCTGAAGCTCTGTACATGGCTCATCTAGGTTTTGTGCTTTATTCTGAATGTAATAACAATTTTGATGTTAAACTATTTAGTCCCTACAGACTTGATTGTTTACTCTCTTCCACTTATATTTTCTGCCTTTCTGTTGATGCTATTTCTAAAATTAGGACATTGTGGATTGGTATGACTATTTCGCTCGACTACCAGTGGGCGATGTATGGTCTTAATACAGACAGTGATGAATATGAAAAGGCAATGTCTAAAGCTCACCAGCGTTCAGCAGAGCGTATATTGGAAGGCTGTCTCAAGGTACGTTTTCTTCTGTGGTTGGCATTTTTTGTTTTTTGTGAAGTGTTCTGAAATAAATTTATATACAGTAATACAATATTTGAATATCAGTACAGTGGACCCTCAGTTAACGACATTAATCCGTTCCAGAGAGCTTGTCTTCAACCGATTGTGTTGTTATCTCAATTAATTTTCCTCATAAGAAATAATGGAAATCCAATTAATCCGTTCCAGACACTCAAAAGTATTAAACAAAATAATTTTTTTACATGAAATAAACATTTCCCTACACAGAAAACAATGAGACATGCAGAATAAATACATTAATAATTAATAAAATGACACTTAGCTTTATTGAAGACGTATTTGATGAGTGATGAGATGGGAGGAGGGCAGAGGATGGAGGAGTTTACAATTGTTTGGAAGGGGAATCCCCTTCCATAAAGATTTTAGGTACCAAATCCTTTTCCAGGGTTACCTCCTTTCTTCGTTTTTTAATGCCACTAGGGCCAGCTTGAGAGTCACTGGACCCCTGTCGCACCAAAAATCTGTCCAGAGAACTCTGTTTCTGGCGTGTCTTTAAGATTTCCCTAAAATGGGACACGACATTGTCATTGTAGATGTTACCAGCATGGCCTGCAACAGCTGTGTCAGGGTGATGTTCATCCATAAAGGTTTGCACTTCAGTCCACTTTGCACAAATGTCCTTAATCTTTGAAGAAAGCAACTTCTTCCATCTCTCTTCCCCTTCCTCTGAAGGAAATTCCTGAGCTGTGGTCTGTTGCTGTTGCACCTCAAGCTCTTGCAGCTCTGTAGTGGTTAGCTCTTCATTGTCATCCTCCACCAACTCTTCCACATCCTCGCCACTAACCTCCAACCCCATGGACTTCCCCAATGCCACAATAGATTCCACAAATGGCATAGGCTCCTCAGGGTTAGCCCCAAGCCCTTCAAAATCCCTCTCTTGTACACATTGTGGCCACAATTTTCTCTAAGCAGACTTCAAAGTCCTGCAAGTCACTCCCTCCCAAGCCTTACCTATAAGGTTTATGCAACTGAGGATACTGAAGTGATCTTTCCAGAACTCTCTTAGGGTCAGTTCAGTGTCTGAGGTCACTTCAAAGCACTTTTAAAACACTGCTTTACTGTACAGTTTTTTGAAATTTGAAATGGCCTGCTGGTCCATGGGCTGGAGGAGGGAGTGGTATTAGGGGGCAAAAATTTCATTTTGATGAAACTAAACTCCCCACAATTTGCTCTTCCAAGTCTGGAGGACGAGCAGGAGCATTGTCCATTAACAGGAGGCACTGGAGTGGCAATTTATTTTCCAGGAGGTATTTTTTCACACTGGGGCCAAACATGTCATAGAACCAATCGAGGAAAATGTCCCTAGTGACCCATGCCTTACTGTTTGCTCTCCACATCACACACAATTTAGTCTTGATGATGCTGTATTTCTTGAACACTCTGGGAGTTTCAGAGTGATACATGAGTAAAGACTTCACTTTGCAATCCCCACTAGCATTACTACAAAACATGAGAGTTAGCCTGTCTTTCATAGGCTTGTTTCCTGGGAGTGCCTTTTCCTGCAGAGTAATGTAGGTCCAGTTTGGCATTTTCTTCCAAAACAGGCCTGTGGGGGTTTTAATTGTTCAGCCTCTATGTACCCTTTAAAGTCCTGAACATATTTTTCAGCCACTTTTTTGTCAGAACTTGCAGCCTCACCATACCTTATCACACTGTGCATGCCACTATGATTCTTAAATCTCTCGAACCAACCTTTGCTGGCCTTAAATTCACCAATATGAGCACTAGTTCCAGGCATTTTCTTAATGAGATCATCATGCAGCTGCCTTGCCTTTTCACATATAATTGACTGTGAAACACCATCTCTTGATAATTGTTTCTCATTGATCCACACCAACAACAGTCTCTCCACATGTTCGAGTATTTGCGATCTCTGTTTTGTAAGCACATTTGCACCTTTTGCAACAATAGCTTCCTTGATTGCCTTTTTGTTGGCCAAGATAGTAGTGATGGTTGTATGGGGTTTGTTATATACAACCTGGTCAGCTCAGAGACGTGCACTCTACTTTCGTATTTTGCGATGATCTCTTTCTTGAATTCAATAGTATTTCTCACCCTCTTTACCACAGGGCTGGCATGAGAAGCTTTCTTTGAGCCCATGGTGGCTTATTTAGCAGTTAAAACCACTAAAAACAGTGGAATAATATAAAATGTATGGCATGTATGTGTAGAATCGTCCTCACTGGCTTGTAAACAATGGCACACTGGCTGTACGTGGAGTGGCCAGGCCACTCAGGCAGCGCGGACACGTTCGGGACGAATGACTTTAACCGAGTTCTTTGTCGTTAACTGAGCCTATATTTTGACAAAAAACGTGTCATTATCCGATTTTTACATTATCTGATGACGACGTTAACTGAGGGTCCTCTGTAGTTGTTGTTTTATGCAGCTGTTGTGTAATTTGCTTTTATTTTTCTATACATACATGCAGCATAACACATTTTAATGTAGTGTTTGAATATCTTGGAACATAGCCTCAATATTCCCATCCAGTGGTTCATTCCAGCAACACACTTTTTGCTGATTAGTGAGACCTATGGATGCTTTCCCCCTGTTCTGTCTACTCAGTAAGAAGGGTAGGAATGCATCTGCATCCACAGCAATATTACCATTAGGTAACATTCCAGAGGAATGGCAAAGTGCTGACAATATGGTAAGACACAGATTGCAATCTATATAGATGATGAAGCGATTTGTAGTGAAAAGGTGTACCAGTGAAGACTCCTTACCTGTCAGCATTATACTCAGTATTAAGTTACATACTGAGTTGTCATTGATGTCCTAAACTTTTGCAAAAGAATTAACTCTGCCACTCTTCAACAGAATGGAGGTCTCTACATAAAGCTGGGCCAGGGTTTGGTGTCTATGAATCATGTGTTGCCCAAGGAGTATGTAGACACACTCAGGGTGAGTGACTATGATGTTGTACCCTCTCAGAACCTGTCTCCTTATTCTTAAGGCACAATCCATAAATTTTGCAAATTCGTGGATTTCCCTATATAGTATAGATCTCATAAAATGTTTGTAAAATGAGAATTTTTTTTTTTATCATGCTCATTTTCTTTTGACTTCATGTAAGACCCCAAAGAATTTAATTAAAATTGTGCTAACTTGTTTTTCCCATTCTTCTTTACACTTTCTTATACAGGTGCTCCTCAACTTATGATGGTTTGACTTAAAATAGTACGTATTTCAGATTAATGATTACCCAGCATGAAGGCAGCATGTCTGTAACTTCTATTAGTTTAATTACTTCTCAATGCTACTGATATTTAGTTAGTTACAGTAATTATTTGTTTATTTACTTATTCAGTGACAGTTGTTATTTATTTACTATGTTTAGTATTTATTTAGCATATCATATTCATATTCGACATACGATACTTTTGACTTAAGAAGGGTTTGTCAGAACGTAACCCCATCGTAAGTTGAGGAGCACCTGCATAGATCTCAGTACAGTGATACCTTGGGATATGAGCTTAATTCGTTCCAGAAGGCTGTTCGAGTGCTGATACCGAACGAATTTGTTTCCATAAGGAATAATGTAAATTAGATTAATCCGTTTCAGACCCCCAAAAATACACTTACAAATGCACTTACATAAATATACTTACATAATTGTTTGCATTTTGAGCTGTTCGTATCCTGAGGTACCACTGCATTATTAAGATTAGAGCAGTTGTAATGACGAATAATTCAAAGTGTGAAAAAAAACATCGTTATACAAACATTTATTGATATTTGTAGTTTGTGGATTGAGCATTTTGCAGTACAGTGTTGACAAGTCAAACATACTTGAACAAGCTCAGTGCACTTAGTACTTATTATAGATTCATACCCAAAAAAAGTATAAATAATATTTTAATAAAAATGTTTTATACACTTTGTAAATTTTTGCCAGTAATATTTTTTAATACACTTGCAAAGATATAACAACAATTGAATAAAAAAAGTAATAAAGCACTAATTTATAAAGTGCTGTCTGCTAATGAGAGCCATGGGAATTTAAGTAGTGGATTGAAGTGTAATAAATAATAACAGTGAGTGAGAAACCACTTTGAAAGAAATACGTACAAATGTAAGAACACAAGAATGGAGGAACACTTCAGTAGGCCTACTGACTCGTGTAAGGCAGGCCCTTCTTAAACCCAACCCTTTTCACTCTTATACAGCGGTACGTACCTTGGGTTACGAACACCTCAGAACTTGAACAATTACGTAAGTGTATTTATGTAAGTGTTTTTGTAAGTGTATTTTTGGGGGTCTGAAACAGACTAATCTAAATTACATTATTTCTTGTGGGAACAAATTCGTTCAGTATCAGCACTCGAACAGCCTTCTGGAACGAAAAAAGTTCATATCCTGAGGTACCCCACTGTATACTTGTTTAACCTACTTTTTGTGCTACTGAAGGTGCCAGCCTCATTTACTGTACTCTACCTGTCACCCTGCCTCGGTGGGAGACGGCCAACTTGTTGAAAAAAAAAAAACCTGGCAGATTGTCCCACTATCCACAACTTTTTTTTTTTTCAAACCAGTATTTTCCTATATCCCTTCTAAATCAGAATTGATGAAACTTTAATCCATTGTTTTGAGTTATTTCTTAGATATCCTCAGCACCTTAAGTATGTGTCCATTATTTACACCTGTCTTACATTTCTATACTTATGTCATATCTCCCTTCATTCTATGTCTTACATAGGATGTAGGTGAAAGGTTCTCAGTCTTTCTTTGCATGAAAAATTCCTTCTGCAGTGGAACAATTCTGTCATCCTTCTCAGTATGTTCTCCAATACATGTATATCCATTCTGTGGTATGGGGACCAGAACTGTTGTACATAATCCAAATGAAGCCTTAGCCATACTAATGATGCATAGGGCTGTAGAATAACTTTTGGACTCCTGTTATTTTTTTTTAACGAATCAGATGTATCTCACCGAGGCAGGGTGACCTAAAAGGAAAAATGAAGTTTTTCTTTTTAAATTTAGTAATATACATGAGAGAAGGGGTCACTAGCCCCCTGTTATTTTTTGCTTGATATAAATATAAGATATATATATATATATATATATATATATATATATATTATATATATATATATATATATATATATATATATATATATATATATATATATATATATAAAGAAGAAAATTGTCAAAGTGGGAAGTCTGAATGTGCGTGGATGTTGTGCAGATGATAAGAAAGAGATGATTGTGGATGTTATGAATGAGAAGAAGCTGGATGTCCTGGCTTTAAGTGAAACAAAGCTGAAGGGGGTGGGAGAGTTTTCAGTGGAGAGGAATAATGGGATTAGGTCAGGGGTTTCAAATAGAGTTAGAGCTAAAGAAGGAGTAGCAATAATGTTGAAGGATAAGCTATGGCAGGAAAAGAGGGACTATAAATTTATTAATTCAAGGATTATGTGGAGTAAAATAAAGATTGGATGTGAAAAGTGGGTTATAATAAGCGTGTATGCACCTGGAGAAGAGAGAAGTGTAGAGGAGAGAGAGAGAGATTTTGGGAAATGTTGAGTGAATGCGTGGGGAGTTTTGAATCAAGTGTGAGAGTAATGGTGGTTGGGGATTTCAATGCTAAAGTGGGTAAAATTGTTATGGAGGGAGTAGTAGGTAAATTTGGGGTGCCAGGGGTAAATGTAAATGGGGAGCCTTTAATTGAGCTATGTGAAGAAAGAGATTTGGTAATAAGTAATACATATTTTATGAAAAAGAGGATAAATAAATATACAAGGTATGATGTAGCACGTAATGAAAGTAGTTTATTAGATTATGTGTTGGTGGATAAAAGGTTGATGGGTAGGCTCCAGGATGTACATGTTTATAGAGGGGCAACTGATATTTTTTTTTTTTATTATCACACTGGCCGATTCCCACCAAGGCAGGGTGGCCCGAAAAAGAAAAACTTTCACCATCATTCACTCCATCACTGTCTTGCCAGAAGGGTGCTTTACACTACAGTTTTTAAACTGCAACATTAACACCCCTCCTTCAGAGTGCAGGCACTGTACTTCCCATCTCCAGGACTCAAGTCCGGCCTGCCGGTTTCCCTGAATCCCTTCATAAATGTTACTTTGCTCACACTCCAACAGCACGTCAAGTATTAAAAACCATTTGTCTTCATTCACTCCTATTAAACACGCTCACGCTATGCTGCTGGAAGTCCAAGCCCCTCGCACACAAAACCTCCTATTACCCCCCCTCAACCTTTCCTAGGCCGACCCCTACCCCGCCTTCCTTCCACTACAGACTGATACACTCTTGAAGTCATTTCCGTTTCGCTCCATTCTCTCTACATGTCCGAACCACCTCAACAAACCCTTCCTCAGCCCTCTGGACAACAGTTTTGGTAATCCCGCACCTCCTCCTAACTTCCAAACTACGAATTCTCTGCATTATATTCACACCACACATTGCCCTCAGACATGACATCTTCACTGCCTCCAACCTTCTCCTCGCTGCAACATTCATCACCCACGCTTCACACCCATATAAGAGCGTTGGTAAAACTATACTCTCTTACATTCCCCTCTTTGCCTCCAAGGACAAAGTTCTTTGTCTCCACAGACTCCTAAGTGCACCACTCACTCTTTTTCCCTCATCAATTCTATGATTCACCTCATCTTTCATAGACCCATCCGCTGACACGTCCACTCCCAAATATCTGAATACGTTCACCTCCTTCATACTCTCTCCCTCCAATCTGATATCCAATCTTTCATCACCTAATCTTTTTGTTATCCTCATAACCTTACTCTTTCCTGTATTCACCTTTAATTTTCTTCTTTTGCACACCCTACCAAATTCATCCACCAATCTCTGCAACTTCTCTTCAGAATCTCCCAGAGCACAGTGTCATCAGCAAAGAGCAGCTGTGACAACTCCCACTTTGTGTGTGATTCTTTATCTTTTAACTCCACGCCTCTTGCCAAGACCCTCGCATTTACTTCTCTTACAACCCCATCTATAAATATATTAAACAACCACGGTGACATCACACATCCTTGTCTAAGGCCTAATTTTACTGGGAAAAAATTTCCCTCTTTCCTACATACTCTAACTTGAGCCTCACTATCCTCGTAAAAACTCTTCACTGCTTTCAGTAACCTACCTCCTACACCATACACTTGCATACATCTGCCACATTGCCCCCTATCCACCCTGTCATACGCCTTTTCCAAATCCATAAATGCCACAAAGACCTCTTTAGCCTTATCTAAATACTGTTCACTTATATGTTTCACTGTAAACACCTGGTCCACACCCCCTACCTTTCCTAAAGCCTCCTTGTTCATCTGCTATCCTATTCTCCGTCTTACTCTTAATTCTTTCAATTATAACTCTACCATACACTTTACCAGGTATACTCAACAGACTTATCCCCCTATAATTTTTGCACTCTCTTTTATCCCCTTTGCCTTTATACAAAGGAACTATGCATGCTCTCTGCCAATCCTAGGTACCTTACCCTCTTCTATACATTTATTAAATAATTGCACCAGCCACTCCAAAACTATATCCCCACCTGCTTTTAACATTTCTATCTTTATCCATCAATCCCGGCTGCCTTACCCCCTTTCATTTTACCTACTGCCTCACGAACTTCCCCCACACTCACAACTGGCTCTTCCTCACTCCTACAAGATGTTATTCCTCCTTGCCCTATACACGAAATCACAGCTTCCCTATCTTCATTAACATTTAACAATTCCTCAAAATATTCCCTCCATCTTCCCAATACCTCTAACTCTCCATTTAATAACTCTCCTTTCCTATTTTTAACTGACAAACCCATTTGTTCTCTAGGCTTTTTTAAAATTTGGGTTAATCTCACTCCAAAAATTTTTTCTTTTTTCAACAAAATTTGTTGAAAACATCTAAACCCACTT